AATGGGGTGGGTTGATATCAGAACACAAATGAATAAACTCTGAAACCATACCCTTCTTTCTGTGGGGTCTGAGAATATCTTGACAATATTTATTTGCATTTTCAAATGCCAACTGTTTAACAGTAAACTCACAAGCACCTGGATCTCCAATGGAGCAGTTTGTGGTCTGGTAGAGCCACCTACGAAATCAGAATAAAGTTCATTGGCACCTTGCTTAACTTTAGTCAGAACTAAGCTAGATTGGACCCTGGAGGCAATTTGTCTCCAGGCACATTTAGCACATGCTGTAATCTTATGATACACTACAAAACCATAATTTAGTTGCCTTTCCAAATCAATAAATTCACCCATTCCTAAAAACATGTCCAATTATTTCTGCCTGCTCCGAACAAAAGTCTGTCCAATATGACCACCAGGGTAAACAATCCCCCAACTCAAGCAAGCTCTAGCAGTAGAAATCCAATCGCTAGGTGGGAGTGGCTGAGAGCAAATAGTCTCAAGCAAGCTTTGCATGAATGGTGAATTTGGACCACAGGTGTTTTTTAACTCTTTAATAGTTTTAAAAGGAATTACTGCATGGACTCGAACAAGATGGTCCTGATCATTAACCTGCTCAAAAACCGGAAAGAGTTGAAAGTCGCTAGTGTCCTCCCCAGCTTCCTGGGCCTTTCTAATTCCCCACTGGAATGGAGTAAGGAAAGTCATCGCCAGCTCAGAATATCTGTTGAAATTTGTCCTTCTAACAGAGAGCGGCCAAATTCGAATGACCCTGACAGGTGCCATTAAACACAATCTGTTAAAAACCCTGGCAAATCCTGGACTTCATTGTCTGACTCCTCTCCCTCAGACTGTGATTCCTCCATGGACTCTTCCCTGTCACCATGTTGAATCTGAGCTTGTAAGTCTTGTGGAGGAGAAGGACTTTCTGTCTCTCTATGAATCTCCTCTGGATTCTCCTCTCTGGGAAAAAGACCTTCTATCCCCCTGGATGCCTCCTTCTATGATTCTCCTCTCTATGGTCTTCCTCCAGACTACTCTGGTTTGATTCAGGCAAGGCTAAGTTTTTTACTTTCAGTCTTGCCCCAAGGTTTTTTGTTTGAATGTAATTTGTTTTTATTTTTAGGCAGCTTAGAGGAAAAGAGATTTCCTTAGCCTCAGGCAATTTTTCCATTTGAATAGACTTAATGGCTCTCTGAATACCTTTCAATAGATCTTCAGGGGGCCACAGACAATGGCCCATGTAATCAAAAAGACAGATCTCTGATGCAGTTCAAACCTTTTGAATATTCTCAAAAATTCCAGGTAATTCATTAAAAAGGCAAATTTTATGTAATTTCCTTCCTAATTTATCCAATGTATGTAAATTTGGTGAATCTTAGTCACAAAACCAAGGGCAAAATTCACCTACAATCTTTAAGAATTGCAGCAACTAGGTCTTTTGACCTACTTTCACTTCTGAGTAATTATTGTCTCTAAAATAGTCAAATACATGTCTTTATTGGTAGAAGTTGAATTCCCCATCATTAAAGATTTTTTAATGTCCGTTTTCTCCAAAAGTGACTGGTACTTTCATGACCCTAAAAATTGTCAGAAATTCTGCATTTCTATAGTGTGCTTTCTAACTCAACCTAGTCGATTTAATGCACGAACCTCAATTCAGGGTGCCACTTCTGCCAAGCGACCAGCACTGGCTTAATTAAAGATGGTTCAATTCATGAATAAAATGCTAGGGAGTTTTAAATTAAAGAGACAAGACTCTAATTATCTTTAAAACCAACTCCAGGATGGCTTCTCCTAGCTCCTGCCTACAGCCACCATGCGGTAGCGAGGTTTACTGAAGAGGCTAGTGTGAGAGAGGGAACACGCCAGGGAGTGGGCTTTTATTGGGTTACAAAAAATTCCAGGGAAAATCCTACCCAATGAAGGTTAAGGGGGGCAGCATCCCAAGGTCAGGGGCAGTGACTGGGACTTCAGGGCAGTGGCCAGACATGCCTCTGCACAGACAAGCCCTCCAACCTGGAAAAGGGTGGGGAAAGCTCTCACACAGCTGTGTCAAAGAACCTCTCACCCAGCCAGGGTGCAAGGATGGCCTCCCACAGTGAATTAATACCCTGATGGGATTAACTAAATGGAAACTGAAGGTGGGTGGATTGTGGCTGGAGGAAGTGGAACACTGGGGTCCCCTCTTGTTGGTATATATTTTGTATCTGGCAAGTGGAATCTCTCTCTGCTTCTTGATTATCATGTGTGGAGCTTCTCTCCACTACACTCTTTCACCATGATTTTGTGCCTCACCTTGAGCTCTAAGGAATAGAGCTTGCTGTATTTGGATTGAAACCTCTGAAACTGTGAGCCCCAGACAAGCTTTTTCCTCTTCCAAAATTGTTCCTATCAGACCTTTTAGTCACAGCAGTAAAAAAAGCTAACTGAGAAGTGGGGCCTTGGCTGTGACCATGTTGTTTGGAAACTTTGGGGGATTTTTGGAATTTGGGGGAGGAATTTGAGCTGTTTAGTAGTGCAGGCTGGAAATGTTTTTGATTGTTGTAAACAGAGCTTAATGACTCATTCTGATGGGAGCTCAGAATACGAGAATGCCAATAGAACCATGGATTGTAAAGACAGGGCTCAAGAGGGTTTATAAGGGTAAAAGAAATTGAAGTTAAAGCGTATAAGTTAAAGGGTAAAAGACCGGGTGTTGTAAAGTTTCTAAGCTGCAAGGTCTGAGTTAAAATGTAAAGGATTAGGTATTGTTAGGTTCCTATGCTACCTGCAAAACCTGAAATTTCTGTAGCTGTTAAGACAATGCTTGGAACTGCCCAGTAAATATTTCCCCTGACTATTTGGTTGTTTAATAAAGGCTCTGTGTGGTCGCACATAGGCATTGCAGGGCCTGGACCAATCAGTTTAAATGTAACCCCCTCCTTAGGAATGACCTGTCACTCCAGCCTGACCTGTTCCTGCCAGTGAATGAACTAATCATGTTTAGGAGTTGTTGTTCAATTTTCCCGTGCCTCATGATGATTTGTTCTGATGTATACAAAGCCCTCCGCCCTCCCCAAAAAGTGTACTTAAGCAGTGCTCAGCCCCTGCTCGGGGCTCTGGGCTGCTTTCCCTTCTTGAGTGGGCACGGAACCCCAGCATGCTGGTTCAATAAATCCCCTACTGCCAATTGCATGAGTGGTCACTTGGTGGTCTCTTTCTCCGACGTTTCGCGGAACCCTTACATTTGGTGCGTTGGCCGGGAAAAGTGCATCGCCGGACAAGGAGACCTCCAACGGACTCCTTTAGGGGGTAAGTAAGGCGCCTCTTCCTCTTCTTCTTCCTCCTTTTCTTCTCCTCCTTGTTATCCTTCTTGTTTTTCCTTTGCGATCGCTTAGAGCTTTTTGGTTTTTGGCTCAATGGAGAGCGTAAATTCTCAGAGCTTTTTGGTTCAGGTTTGGTTTTTGGCTTGGATTGGTTTGGTTGGGTTGGCAGCGTGGCCGTCAGTGGAGAGTGTAAATTCTCCCTGGCAGTGGTGACAGACGTGTCCTAATCCACAGGCCACTCTTCTTAAGGGACTCCTTGGAGGATTCGGGGGAGGGGGCAAAACTGCCCCCAGTTGGTAGAGGGACAAGAGTGCCCTCGTTTGTACTCTGCTGTCAACCCATTTGGTTTCACCAGCAATTCCTTTTCTCAGGTTGAATTCACTGCCTGTCTTTAATCTTTGCTTCTAAACTTGTGTTAAACGTTTACTGTGTGTCCGTGTTTGTGTCACGTTTGTATCGTCCCTGTCTCTGCCTGAGTAACTCCCAGTATGGGACAAAGCCATTCCACGCCTCTGTCCCTGAAGCCTTTCCTGGTCCCTGCCTCCACTCCGACCCCTTCCCCCAAGATCCTATCACTCAATCCTTCTGCTCCTCCGCTCTTCCCCTCCATTCTCCCTGAGTCACAAGATTGTAGATCTTGGGGTTGTGAATGAACTGGAGCTGCATGATGATCTTTGTGTGTCTTTTTGTCTGTGTCTCTGTTAAGTGTGATGGCATTGTTTTACTTTGGACCGATGCAGAGTCCCAAATTCCAAACGGCCTTAGATGTGTGGAAGTAACTTTAGCTAAATTTTAACCTAATGCTTCTCCTGTGAGGGACCAAAAGTCAATAGAACCGCCAGCTTTTCTGTTCTCACCTTTTACACCTCTCTTAGCTATGTTTTAAAGAACTTTGATAAACTTTACCCCCCTTTGTTAAGCGAGATTAGGGAAGCAGTGTTTTCTTTTCTTCCAGTAGTTGGCTTGAGCACGCCCACTGCAGAGGGAAATGCCTGGGGTCTAAAAACTTTGATATCTCGCTTAAACTTTTCTCAAACTTGAAACAACTGCAAGCAGAAGATGAGCTTTTTGGGAAGCTGACTACTGAAAAGTTAGGAGATGTGAGAAATGCCTAGTGCCTGGGGTCAAACCAAGCCAGAGGAAGTAATCCTATAAGTAAAAGGTGGAACTAAGGGGCTCCCAGCAGCTGCCAAAGCCATTTTGCTTTGGGGAGTTTCCTCCTTCCTTACCTGCACTTTAGGGTTTACCCCACCTCTGTTTGCTTAACTAAGGGAACAATAAATACAGTAATGTGTTGATGTTATAGATTGTTTCTTGGGGATGATCTTGGCTAAATGTGTATCTAAAAGATAATTTTTTTATTGTAACAATTTGGTATCTGAATGGGTTTCTAAAGCATTGCACTATCTTGCAGTTAAAAGTTGGGTTTAAGCAATTGTTTAGTTTGATTTCAGATAGTTCATGCTAGAAAACTTAAATACTTAGGATAAAAAAATTAAAAAGTTTCAATTTTGAACTGGGTAGCCTGAGAAAATTTCACTAGGTATTCCAGTGTATTAACTTGGGCGAAGATAATAAATTATGATATGATATCTGTTCCCCTCAGTGTGTAAGATTCAGGAAAAAAAAAGGGTGCTAAATTAAAACTTTGGTCTGGCTTATTGAAATGACATTAATTAGCAACAGTCTTGGGAATTTTTAAGGCTTGATTTTTGATATACATGGTAGAACTTAATACTACTTTAGGAACTTCAGAACAAAGGAAGCAGCTTAATGATCCTGAGGGAATTTCCTCTGATGGTGGCCTTTATATTATCAGAAAAAGATCCTATTTTCAGTTTTGTGTGAGCAAGTGTTTCTAATGTAAAGAGATATAAGGATATAAAATTTTGAGAATTGCATCTTAAACCTGGAAATTATGACTTATAGCTAAAATGCCTTAGACATGAGGTTTCTGCTCAGAATTACAGTTTTCCCAGTTCCTCCCAAACCTCAGCCAGGACTTAAGCTGATATGCAAATAGAAGAAGCCTGGAACACTCAGCAGGAGACAGATTTCAGGCCCAAGGAAAAAAAGAGTTAAAGTGTCTTTTTACCTGAACTCAAACTAGACCCCAACCAAAAAGTAAATTATATGGTATTTATTAATTACTGGCCAGTCATCTTTTTTTAGGACTCTTGCTTTTTCTTAGATTCTGTATTTTTTTTGGAGCTCATGATTTTAATCCCACAGACAGGTTAATGTTTTCTGATCAGTTCTATTTCTGATCAACTGTGGAGTTTTTAAACATTGCAATGGAGATTTCACCTGAAAAAGCTACAAGGGTGTTACACTTGTGTTATGTGTTGTATGTCAGTATGTCTGGATGTGTGTATGTCCATATATCCTGCAGTGATATGACAATTGACAGATGAGGAGCGCTCATTAAAAAATTTAGAAATGGATCCAAATATCTTTGATTCACGTGGTTCAAATGGTTCAATTTACATTGGGTAAACAGATATGTCTATAAAATTGGGTAAACAGTTGATGTCTATAAAATAATCTGCTTAAATTCAGAAATTTACAGATATTGTTTTAAAGTGTGAACAGAAGGAGGTTATCAGATGGAAAAGAAAAACTAGAACGTTTTAGGTATGGATTTAATAGAGGGAAAATGTGTTTCTGGATAAGAGAGTCTATGTGATTAAGTAATTAAGAAGGTTTAAGTAAGTGATAAAAAAGGTTTGTGTAAGTTGGTTATGTGTGTAAGTTTTTGAGCAAATAATCTTAAAGAAATTAAAGATTATACAACTATGGTTAAACAACAGCTGTTATTTTTCAATATTGTAATCTTGTTACTTTAAAAGCTAACCTTGGTTAATATAAAAACATCAATATAATTATGGTGCTACTAATGTGTTCATATCTTCCAGGTATACAAGTCTGTAAAGTAGAAGCTTCAAAAGAACATTGTATGAAGCTGGTGTTCTAAAGTTGTATGGTAATTTTAGGCTTAAAAGAAAAAAACATGTTGGAGATTTGTTTATATCATTTGTGTTCTACGATTGGACTTGTTATCAATAAGATACATGTTACTTTTTACACTGAGATACAATTTAAATGTATTTTTAAGTTAATGAGAGCCTAATCTGTGTAAAGGTTTTATTGTAAAACACCAAAGTACTTTGCTACTTTTCTATAAAAGGTTAAAAGCTTTCAGCCTTTAATTCATGTTTTAGGTGTGATATTATGTTGTGTTAGCTAATGTTCATGTAAACTTGAACAACAATTTATGTAAACTTTGTAAAATGATCAGCTTCAGAACTATAGTACTTGAGATTTATAAAGAGCCCTGCCTTACTTGAGATAAGGCTCTGTCCCATCTCACTACATGTGAAAGTGGCTATGAAAGAAGTAAGCCAGATTTCAGTACAGTTAAAGTTGTGTCCAAAAGTAGGTTTTTGCCAAAATTACTAGGATCTCAAATAGGGAATTATGATGTATAACTCTGCCAGAATTCAAGGTAGCCATTATGTAAGCTAAATATGTTTTTACCCTAGTTAGTTTTGTTTTGTATTTTGCTTATAGATGGTTTAAGGATTGCCTGTTAATGTTTTAAAGTGGTATTGCTTTAAGAACACAACCTGGGTCAACATAAGATAAGGAGTTATCACCTACAGGATAGAGAGATAGACATTAAAGCCCAGTGCTCTTAATAGAAGGCTGTTAACTTATTTGCTGGATGTTTAAGATTAAGTTTTAAAATTAAAAATTTGGCTCTTGCCCTCTGAGTCAGTCTGAATCAGGGAATAGGGGACTTCTCCAAAGGGCTCTGCAACTCTAGGCCACATAACCTCCTGAGCAGGGAGATTAATGAGACCAGTGGAGGACAGAAAGCCAATCGGTGCATTTGCTTTGAAGAGAAGGGTCATCAGAAAAGGGGAAACATCCCTGATGCTTCCGAGGGAAGCCACATGGTCAAGCAAGGCCTGGACCCATCCTAAGGTAAATGGCACTAGCAGAACTGAGAAGCTGCTATGAAGTTCCCCGAGGACTCCCAGGGAAACTCAGCTGTCTGTTGACAATAGATAAGAACAAAAGTCAGTTTGACTTGCTTCATCTTAAACACTTAGCAAAGATAGTTAAAGCCAAAGCACAGCTGTTCCTGGACATTTTAAATGATAATAATAGTTAAATGTAACTTCCAAAAATAAGTAAACTAGAGGCTACAAAAGAGATTCTCAGACAGGAATGCCTGATAACTACTAAAAGGAACTGCCAGAGTAGTTTTTAGTTTAAGGCCCACAGATATTCCTAACCTACACAGGTAGGCTTGGTGTTTGCTAGGATGGTTATCCAGCCCTAAGTAGCAAAATTAAAGGTTTCTCTATTAGACATAGGTCATACTAGTAAAAAGGACATCTGTAAACCTAAATGTTAGTTGTTGTGTTTACATCCCTGACATTTCTGGCAAGGTGACAAATATCCTTAAAGATTTACATGCTTAGATAGAAGCCATGTCCTCAGCAACTTTGTCGTGGAAACAATATCTTAGCTTCTGGTTCTTGGTACTTCCTGGTGGAAAACATTGTTAGTCTCTGTCTTGGCCATTATACTCATTGTCATATTCCTGTGCTGTGACATTTATTGTTGCATCAATATGGTTCCAGTAAATTAATGAATTCTTGTTTCTCTTATAGACCACCTATCACTCGAATGGCCCTCAAGCCTAATACTTCTCAATTGGACTTTTATCATGGACCACTCGATAGACCCGATATTTTTAAAGGGGGACTCCAAACTGCTTGCCCCACACCGTCCCTTTTCAGCCTGAAGAAGCCAGAAAGATTCTCTTCGCCCCCCCCCCTTCCTTACAGCAGTATGGAGTTCCCAAATTAGAGGGGGAAATGAAGCCAGATTTTAATTTAGGTAGTCAGTGTAGTTAGATAAATTGGGGTCTAATATTGAGTGGAATCTAAAATGGAGGCCATGCTGAAAATGATTCCAGGGAACGCAAAACAACTCATGAAATGTGAAACCCTTCAATAATTGTGATGCATTACTTTTAAGATTAAAAGTAGTCAGAAAAAGGAGTGGGGAATGTAAGGGTAAAAGAAATTGAAGTTAAAGCGTAAAAGTTAAAGGGTAAAAGACCGGGTGTTGTAAAGTTTCTAAGCTGCAAGGTCTGAGTTAAAATGTAAAGGATTAGGTATTGTTAGGTTCCTATGCTACCTGCAAAACCTGAAATTTCTGTAGCTGTTAAGACAATGCTTGGAACTGCCCAGTAAATATTTCCCCTGACTATTTGGTTGTTTAATAAAGGCTCTGTGTGGTCGCACATAGGCATTGCAGGGCCTGGACCAATCAGTTTAAATGTAACCCCCTCCTTAGGAATGACCTGTCACTCCAGCCTGACCTGTTCCTGCCAATGAATGAACTAATCATGTTTAGGAGTTGTTGTTCAATTTTCCCGTGCCTCATGATGATTTGTTCTGATGTATACAAAGCCCTCCGCCCTCCCCAAAAAGTGTACTTAAGCAGTGCTCAGCCCCTGCTCGGGGCTCTGGGCTGCTTTCCCTTCTTGAGTGGGCACGGAACCCCAGCATGCTGGTTCAATAAATCCCCTTCTGCCAATTGCATGAGTGGTCACTTGGTGGTCTCTTTCTCCGACGTTTCGCGGAACCCTTACAGGTTCAGAGAAAGAGAACCATATTGGAATTTGTAGTAGAGACAATTTGTGTTATGTCCTGTCTGAGAAATTGTCTGTATTTTGCCCAAAGTCTGTGAGGCTGATTTAAAAGTTCTGGTGAAAGAAGTATCTAGAAAGCATAGAATTTCAGCAGTGGCATACATGTTGCTGGTGGCTGTTAACCACATTTATTGTGATAATCAAGAGAAGAAAGCAGAGCAGAAAGATTTGAAAAACTTTGACTTGAAAGGTGGGAGTAAAACTGAGTCTATAGAAGTTGCAGTTGAGAAACACATTACCTAACTAAAATGCTAAAAGTTTTTCCCAGAGACAATAAGAAAGATGGCTATAGAGCATCTCAGAAAATGGCAAGATCATATCCATCTCAGACTCAAGAAAGTCAAAGCAAAAATTCTCTTGAGAAGAGACCAGTGGGGACCCCTTCTTGCAGAAAGGGAACTAGGAGTTTTTTTCTACAGAGTAATATACCCAAACACTCAGAGGCTGCCACAGCCAGGGTCCTTGGAGGCTTAGCTAATGTTCAAGTTGGTGGCAGACCTTGCTGTCAACCACCTAGTTCTGCAGGAATGTAACATGGTGGAGTGTGGAGGTCAGGGAAGCCTTCATCGAGATTTCAAATTAAGGTGTGGGAGTCCAGAAAAAGTGCAGCAGCATCATAGTTCCTGCAAGCAAGGAGGGCAATGCATAAAGATGTTAGGAAGAAACAAAAGCTGCAGTGGCAACCCTCCAGAATAAGAAATTCTAGTACCATGGAACATCCATTGAGAAAGACTGCAGCAACCAAGGTGAGTCAAATCAACAGAAAGGCCACGTGGGCTACAATCAAGAAGGCCACAGATTGGAGTTAAACAAGCCCTTTGGACAGAACATCATGATATGTGCACCAAATTCCAGATGTGGAATTACAGGACTTGTTTTCCTAGCTGGATTTAGACTTCCTGAACTCCCTGTACATTTATATTTTGGATGCATGTACATTGCTTTTGAATTTTTACAGGAGCTCATGATATGAGCTTACCCTGAGTCTCAGAGGATATTTTTTTAATATAAACTTTTGGGCAGCTTGAACTGTTCAGCCTATGGGAACTCTTGGAAATGGACTAAATGTATTTTCCATAATGAGATGAACATGAGCTTTTGTGGGACATGTGTGAAATGTTATTGTTTAAATATTAGTTGTCCCCCAGAAGCTTGTGTGTAAGACAATGCAAGCATGTTTAGAGGAAAAATGACTAAGGTATGAGAGCCTCAACCCAGTTAGTGGGTTAATCCCCTGAAGTGACTATCTGAGTGAAAATGGAAACAGGTAGGGTGTGGCTTGAGTAGGTGGGTCATTGGGGGTATGCCTTTGGGGTATATATTTTGCCTGGCAAGTGGAGTCTCTCTCTGCTTACTGATTATCATGTGAACTGCTTCCCTCCATAACACTCTTTCACCATGATGTTCTGCTTCACATGGAGCCCTGAGAACCAGACCTTGCTATCTATGGATTGAGACTTCTAAAACTATGAGTCCTAAATAAACTTTTCCTCTTCTACAATTGATCTTGTCAAGTCTTTTATTCACAGCAGCAAAAAAAGTAACTAAAACATCAATAGAACAGAATAGAAGATATAAAGACAAAACTGCATAGATATATAGCAATCTGATACTCAAAAAGGTGCTAAAAACATAGATTGGAGAAATGATGATCTTTTGAACAAATGTTGCTAATGAAAACTGTATATTCATATGTACAAGAATGAAAGCAGATGCTTGTTTTTCACCCTGACAAAAGTCAACTCAAAGTGGATCTGATACCTAGGAATTAGACTAGAAAATGCAACTGTTGGAGGAAAACATAAAGTCACCACTCCAATGTATTGGAGCAGGCACCAACTTCCTTAGCAAAACCCTAAAGCTCAAAAAAATCCAAGAATGAATAAGTGGGATGGCATCAAATTAAAAATCTTATGCACAATAAAGGGAACAATTAAGTGAATGAAAAGAAAGCCTACAGAAATCTTTACCAGCTACTCCTCATAGAGGGATTAATGTCCAGAATATATAAAAAACTGAAAATACTTAACAAAAAGGAAAAAACACAGTCAACAAGTGGGCAGAAGAACTAACCAGATATTTCTCAAAAGAAAAAATATAAAAATCAACAAATACATGAAAAAAATACTCAATATCTCTAGCAATCACGGAAATGGACATCAAAGTACTACTGAGACTTTATCTCACTCAATTTAGAATGTCAATCATGGAGAATGCAAAGAATAATAAATGCTGGCAAGAATGGTACACTCAAAAATTTTGGTGGCATTGAAAACTAGTACAACCACTTTGGAATGTAGTTTGTAGATTTCTTCAAAGCCCAGGAATGGATCAACCCTATGACCCAGCTATCCTGTTTCTTGTTGGACATGAAACATAAATAAATAAATAAATAAATAAGGCCATTACAGTGAAATAGGAACATCACATCAATATTTATAGCAGTGCCATTCACTAATAACCAAGTTATGGGCCCAGCCCAGATACTCATTAATAAATGAATGAAAAAATAGGATATGCCATATATACACAATGGAGTTTTACTCAACCATGAAGAAGACTAAGATAATGGCATTTGCTGGGAAATGAATTGAATTGGAGAACATAACACTAAGTGAAATAAGTTAGACTCATAATGTCAAAGGTTGAATATTTTCCTTCACATGCAGAAGCTAAAGCAAAATAAGAGAAAAAGATAGGTGGAGGGCAGTTACTTGAAAATAAAATGCAAGAGAGTGGAGTAGTATAAAAGGATAGAAGGGAAAGGAAAAGAGAGAAAAAGTACGAGACTGTGGAATAAAATGGACCACATTATTCTATGTATCTAAATTTGAATACAACACAGTGGCTGAGCATGGTGGCACACCCCTTTAATCCCAGAAACTCAGGAAGCTGAAGAAAAAGTATTGAGTGTCCAAAGCCAACTCAGTGAGACTCTGTCTCTAAATAAAATATTTTAAAAAGGTCTGGAAATGTGGCTCAGTGTTTAAATACCTCTGGATCCAATCCTCAGTACCCCCCCGCAAAAAAAAATTTAATACAACACAGTAGAGTTTTCTTTTATGTATACCTATAAAACATCCATTAAAAACAATAAATTAATCAAAGAAAGACCAGTAGAACAAAGGAAGGGGAATACAGGACAGTGGAAGAAAAGAAAAGAAGTGGTAGTAGGGACTGAAAAGGAGCAAATTATTTTCTATGCATCTATGGTTCTGTGAAAATGAATTCCACTATTATATGTAAGTATAATGCACTAATAAAAACAATTTTTTTTTAAATTGAAAAGAGAAGCCATATGATCCAGTAATTCTACTACTGAGAATATACCCAAAGAACATGAAGTCAGTGTGGAAAAAGATACCTGTGTGCTGATGTTCATTGCAGCCCTATTCACAATAGCTAAGAAGTGGAAACAAGCTAGGACTTCATAGATGAATGAATATATAAAGAAAATATTTATTCATATGTATACATATATATTCATAAAGAAGAATGAGAAGGAGGAGGAGTTGAAAGGTGGAGGAGGGGAGGCAATGGAATGTGGAGTAATGGGGATTGAAATGGAGCAAATTACATTTCATGCATGTATGAATATGTCACAATAAACTCCACTACAATGTATAAGTATAAGGCACTTAAAAATTTGAATTTTTAAAATGAAAGAGCCTAGAAGCTAGTGGAATGAAAAACAGAAACAAAATCCTGTCATTTGCAACAACATGCATGGATTTGGAGGTCTATATGTCAAGTGAAATAAAACAGGCTCAAGTATTGCATATCATAAAAGTGTAGAATCTTAGAAATTCAGAGTATAATGATGTTGCCAAAAGGTTGGGAGAATATAGTGGACAGATGGCAAAAGTTTGATCAATGTGTACAAAATGACAGTTGGATGGGAGCATAAAATATTGGTGTGCTATTTTACAGTGGGGAGACTATAGCTCACAATAATGTGCAGTACATTTTTAAAAGTTATAATAATAATTTTGATAGTTTTCACCATGAAAGAAATTAAAGGGCTGGAGCTCTGGCTTAGTGGTAGAGCACATGTCTAGCAAGTGTGAGGCACTGGGGTTGATGCCCAGCACCACATTTAAAAAATCTACATAAACATAAAGTATTGTGTCCATCACAACTAAAAATATATTTTTAAAATTTTTATTATTAGTTGTTAAAAACATTACAAAGCTCTTGACATATCATATTTCATATATTTGATTCAAGTGGGTTATGAACTCCCATTTTTACCCCATATACAGATTGCAAAATCACATTGGTTACACATCCACTTTTTTACATACTGCCATACTAGTGTCTGTTGTGTTCTGTTGCCTTTCCTATCCTCTATTATCCCCCCCCCCGCTCCCCTCCCCTCCCATCTTCTCTCTCTACCCCATCTACTGTAATTCATTTCTCTCCCTTTCTCTTATATGTAATTTTGTATAACAAATTTTGTATAACAAATTGCATTTCCATGCAATTCCCTTTCTCTCTCCCTTTCCCTTCCATCTCTCGTCTTCCATCTCTCCTTTAATGTTAATCCTCTTCTCATGCTCTTCCTCCCTGCTCTGTTCTTAGTTGCTCTCCTTATATCAAAGAAGAAATTTGGCATTTGTTTTTTAGGGATTGGCTAGCTTCACTTAGCATAATCTGCTCTAATGCCATCCATTTCCCTCCTCCAGTTGGGGTGGTCTGTCTACTGCACAGGCGGGCTGCTGGGCCCCTCCTCCAGTTGGGGTGGTCTGTCTACCAGGCGGGCAGGTGGCTGTGCCCCCTCTCCGGGCTGCTTGGTCTGCCTACCGCGCGGGCTGGGGGCTGGGCTCCTCCTCCAGTTGGGATGGTCTATCTATGGTGCAGGCAGGCCACTGGGCCCCTTCTTCAGGTCGTCTGGTGTGCCTACCCTTCAGGCAGGAGGCTGGGCTCCTCCTCCAGTTGGGGTGGTCTGACTACCATGCAGGTGGGCCACTGGGCCCCTTCTCCGGGTCGCATGGTCTGCCTACCTCGCAGGCCGCAGCTAGGCCCCTCCTCCAGTTGGGGTGTTCTGAGTACTGTGCAGGAGGGCTGCTGGGCCCCTTCTCCAGGTCATCTGGTGTGCCTACCCTGCAGGCAGGAGGCTGGGCTCCTCCTCCAGTTGGGGTGGTCTGTCTACCACGCAGGTGGGCCGCTGGGCCTAAAAATATTTTAAATTAAATAAATGGTAAATGTTTAAGGAAACAGATGTTTGGCCATATTAAAATACTACACAATGTATAATGTGTCAAAACATAAAAGGGTACCCAAAATATGCACATTTTAATGCTTTTATGTATGACTTAAAAACATTTCATTTAAATTCTCAAAAAGTCTTTTCCTGTAAAAATTTGTGCATCCTGGACAGAAATCTGCATTTTAAGATGTTGCACAGGTGATGGATTTAAAGTTAAAGAATAAAAACCTCTAGTTTGCATAATTAATTCCAGATATTCTGTTTGGTTGCTTGTTTTGGTTTTGTTCAACCAGTCCAACTTCTTTCATTATTACCCTGCATGTTCTTTGGAATATCCTGCAAATATAGTTATGTCAAACCTTTTTATATAATTAGTTACTTATAATTATGTACTCTCTTGTTCAGAAACTGTCCTTTTAATCATTTATTGTCTCAGGAATTCTTCTTCACAAGTTCAAAGTTCTACTTCTAGAGGGATGACTCTCCTGTCCCGTTCTACCAAGGAATAATTAAACATTTTCTGTGAAATAGTTTATGTGTCTATCTCTCACTAACCAGAACATAAGACCTTATAACAGCAAACTCATATACTATTTCCAAATTTGTAATTAAGTACGCAAATATATTGATATAAAAGGCCAAAATGCTATTTGAATAAATTAATAAATCTGATAAAATAAACTATGGCATAAAAGTTCTGTTTTCTTCCTCTCTGTCCATTATATTTGTTTCCATATTTCAAAAACTTTAAAATCAGTCACTATTTAAACTGAAACATAATTTCAGTTACCAATAGTCAGCATTTACATTCAATATCCCTCTTTCCATTATTTTAACCAAGAATATTTATCAGTAACTTCTAGTGAAAAGACAGTCCTAACTAAGAAAAGCCATGCTCTATTCTTTACACAGTAATATCAGAAAGCTTTTTACTTTTGAGATTCCAACATTCCTTTTCTAAAAAGGACAGATCATTGAAAGGTATATTTCGGGTCATGTGGACATTACACCCGCTGAAAGTCCACTGTTGACTTCTCAGAAAGCTCAAAGATCAGAATCATTCACAGAGTAGTCTTTTAAGCAGCGTTCAGTTGCCAGCAAGTAGAAGTCTCTTTGTCAAATATTTCTGTAACTTTATTGAAACTATCTGCCTGTCTAAACCCATTATTCTGCAGCAGTGAGTCACAGCCCAACAAGGGGAAAGTTGAATGAGGATCAACACATTATAGGTCTTGGAAAAGAAAGCATTTTCTCCTTCTGAATTTACCTTCATAAAGTGATTCCTTCAGGTGATCCCCTGTTCAGCCTAAATGTCTTTTGATGAGCTCCTGGATCAAGCTGGAGGCCTGGGGAGATTCCAAATCTTTCAGCTAGTTCTCTTTTGTGTCATCAACCTCCTAACATACCCACATATTGTACTGGAGAACTTCACTGCTGCAATTCCTGATCATCGCTGCTGGGTCCAGATTCTGGACAATGACACTGTCTCTGGTAATGTCACCAGAACTCTCAGCCAAGATGCCCTCCTGAGGATCTCCATTCCCCTGGACTCAAACCTAAAACCAGAGAAGTGTCATCGCTTCATCCATCCCCAGTGGCATCTTCTTCACCTGAATGAAACTGTCGCCAACAAAACTGAGCCAGACACAGAGCCCTGTGTGGATGGATGGGTGTATGACAGAAGCTACTTCCCCTCCACCATCATAACTGAGGTAAGGTGCCTCATCCAAATATACTGTTTGTATGATCAAAGAGTTTGGAGGTAATACCAAGAAGAAGCTTGCTTTATACATTTAGTCCTTCTGCAGGTAGAAATTGCTTATCTACTTACTCTTTGATGCTGTGGAGAATGTACAGTATTGGAGTTAATGAACTGAACAAACAAAACATATACCTATAATTATCATTTAATCTAGTGAGAAATATCTTTAATTTTAAAAGTGATCAAATGTTATACTAAGTCAGTGGTTCTCAGTGCTGAAAAACTGACCCTGAGAGCAAATAAATCAGAATCTCTGGGCATAGAATCCAAACACTAGTGTTTTTGATGTCCTTTAAGTGATTCAATGTGTGGCCAAGGATGAGAGATATTGTCGTAGTTGAAGTATGGACTGCTAAGAAAAGTCAAAGGCAGGGTCCTTATACCACTTACATGATGAGAAAAAAAGTTATAGTTTTAAAATTTTTGGTAACTGTGTTTTTATATGTTTTAATTGTAGTAGCTAAAGAATCTGTATAAGTTAATGGAATAAAGAGAGTTGGTGACCTGAAGGTAAAAATGAATAAAGTCATGCAGAAAAAAGGTGCAGAATATTGGAAGGTTATGAGGCAAGAGAGAGGCAAGTGTACTTGAAGGGCTAAAATAAGTGGAGGAGGGGCGACCAGGGGAGAGTGACTGTAGGTGAAGCTGGAGATCGGGCAGGATCCACAAAGCAGAGATCATATATGGGAGTTTGCACTCTGTTTTCACTGACTGCAAAGATTTCAAAGGCTCCAAACGTTCTAAAACTCCACTGTGCTTTTTTATTTCCCTCCAGTGGGACCTGGTTTGTGAATCCCAGTCATTAAAATCAGTGGTTCAAACTCTGTTTATGACTGGGTCACTGTTGGGAAGTCTGATATATAGCCTTCTTTCAGACAGGTGAGTGTCACCTCATTTTCTTTTGGACTGTTGGTAAAATTAAGTATTCAGTACATACTTATTTCTTTATTTAAGAAATCTTGACGAGTTCTCTGTGTTTTGCACTGAACTGTGTATTGGACTCACTTTCTGACTCCAGGAAACTATGTATTAGCACTTAATACATATACACTGGAAGTTAAAACTTGTTGTGAAAAATTCATTGTTCTGCATTAAGGAGGACAGAAAAGGGTATGTCAATCATATTAGTTTCAGGGAGCAATTTGCAGAGCAAATCCAGAATGTGAGGTGTATGAGTAACAGTTAGTTCAACAAAGGCAAGGAAAGGAGATTTCAGGGAGAAGGCACTTGCATGTTTAAAAGTATGTTCCTGGTCTTGGCAATATTCTGAACCACCTAGACCCTGTAAGATAAATGAGCATAGATACTTTTATACTGGTCATCATTTCACACATGCAGTGTAGGCACACATACAGAGGTAATCAACATTATAAAATCTGAATCTGAGGATTGAGTAGCACTGTGGCCCTGATGGGATGGTAAGTCACTGGACCTGTAACCTGGATGCTGGTCCTTGTGAAATGACTTTAATAGGTAACATTTGTAACCAGAAAAGTTAATTATTAAGAAGTTAGAAGGATGAAACTTGGAGGTGAGAAGTTTGTGGCTTCTAGCACCCTGGCAGAGCTACAGAAGGCAGTCAACCATGGCTCTCATCCACGCATGTCTCCTACAAGAACACTGATGGGAGTGCTGATTCTGAAAGCCATCTAGTATTCTCAGTTCAAAATTGTGACTTTGAGCATACAACAAATAAATGATGCCTGTATGGATTTCTAGATCAGAGAATTCATTTCCCTCTAGTTTTCAGGTCTCTATACTACCAATTTGTACTGGAGAATGAATTATCAAAACAGTTAAATGAAAAATATGAATAAGTAAGTTTTCTTTGAGCATAGATTCAGGTTACTATCCATAAATAGCAGAATAAAAATGTATTATATTCATATAAATTTCTATTGAGCCACAAGAAAGAACAAACTACTGCCACATGCAATAACAGGGGCAATATTACATAACCCAGGACTGCATAATACATGATTTCAAGTTCTATGAAGATCAAAGCATACAGGCTAATATATGGTATTAAAATTCATGATCTTAGATATCTTTGTTGAGAATGGTGTCCAGAAGAATGTCTGAGAACAACTTCTTTATGAGACTGATGTTCTATTGATTTAGAACTGGTTAAATAGAGTGGTCTTGTGAGAATAATTAAACTTGTAAATGAAATGCTTAATAAGGGATGTAACAATGGTAGAGATGTGACTATTGAATTAGGAGTATAATTTGATAGAAGGCAATAGTAGCAGCTAGGAGATCAGTCGTAAAAAGATTAACTTCAATACTCATGACAGAGATTTGTAAGATGGCCCTTTCAGATCTAAAGTAGTAAATAATGGAAAGCAGTATAGAAAATTACTTTAGTAATTATTTTATTTCACAAATTTATGGAGTACATTAATTTGGTGTATTTATATACATTAAATACATACAAACAGTGTGTAATTACCACGACAATGTGGTTAATATTTCCATCACCTTAAACATTTAAAAATGTCTATAAACACATAATAATTGTATTATGAAATACTATGTGATATTTCATTTTATGTATACCTTATATACCAATAAAATCTGGGTAATAAGCATTTCTGTCTCTTTATGATTATATTGGTTTGCAGCTTTGAAGCTCCTCTCTTCTAGTGATTCATAAAATATACTATAGTTTATGTGAACTATAGTTGCCTGCTTTGCTGTAGAACTTAGAATTAATTAATGCCATACATTTGGGCTTTGGTGTCAATTATTCAACTTCCTTCTACTCCCCCTCACCTCTCCCTGCTTCTAGTACCAGAAGTTATGGAGTTCAACCCCCCTATCAAATGAAGGGACCTCTGCATTTCTGACAAATAACCACCCAGTCTCTTAGAACACTTTAGAGTATGTGTAGCTCACATTTGCAGCTAGCATTTGACATGCATTAATAATCCATATTTCATCCACACACTATGTTGACCAGTGTCTTCTCAAGCTTGAAAATTTTCTGCCTTTCTTACCCAGGAAATAGCCAGTGATTTTCTGTCATACATAGAATAAAACTCTTGAGTTTCTTATCAAGTCTTGCCATTCTGTCGTATGGCCCCAGCCTCCCTTCCTCACCTTATCTACCCACTTCTCCATTCTCTGATAGTCTTCAGAACATCTAGCTGGATTCTACCACGTGGCATTTGCATTTTCTATTTATTCTGCCTATAATGCTTTTCCCTGTACACTGTTCAGCCCAACTTCTAGGTTCTCAGATTCAAATCTTCTTACCTTCTGAAAAGTTTCTTCCCTGATTCCCTATTTAGTGGTACCTCTATCCAAGTTATTCTTGTGGCAATTTCCAGCCTTTAAATTTAATGGGTGTGTGGGCTCTCTCTTGTCCAGCAAGGAGGTCCACAAAACAGGGTATAGGAGTGTGTGGCTGTGGAGTCCCTAAACAAGTTCTCCGGAGGCCAAGCAGGAAGCAGGTCTGATTTTATTGCACAGTTACCACGTATTTATACTAGGGCAATAGCTAAGCAGATTACAGGTAGATACCAATGCAATTTCTGATAACTGTCCTTGCAGCAAACAGTTGAGGAGTGGGCCGTGGAGCAAGCACAGGCCTCACACCCATGGCCTCACACCCAGAGCTGTGCTTACAGGGTAAGCAGTCTACCACTCACATGCCTAGCACGAGGGGAGTGGCCTGCTACTCAGATGCCCTTAATTTATGCCATGTATGCAGTACTCCATGCACTTGTCCCCACAAATGGGAATTTTATAACTTTGCCTTTTAAATGCCTTATTTCTGCACTGAGTGGTAACAAAGAACATCTGTCAGCCTATTGAAGTAGCCCAGAGTAAAGATGATAGGAGTCTAAAAGAAGTAGATATCATGGAGATGGAAAGATGGAGCTAGATTTGGGGAATGTTTTAGAAGTAGAGACATCAAGACCTTCTGGAGATAAAGATTATTTTCCACTATTGTAGAGCTGTTAGTAAGAGAAATGGAAGTATCAAAGAGGATATAAGCTTCTGGCCTGAAAAATTGACTAAACTCTAGACTTAATGCCACTATAGAAGATGGAAGAGAATTAGAGAAGTGGAGAAATGTTGGTGGAGAAAATCAAGAAATCTGTTTTGGACTTGCTGAGTGGGAGCTATTTTGCATTGTGTCCGTCCGCTTTTTTCGTACTGTGACTAAAAGAGCCAACAAAATCAAATTTAGAGGATAAATGTTTATCTTGGGGCTCACAATTTCAGAAGTCTCAGTGCATAGGTGCCTGACTCTATTCCTTGAAGTATCATGGTAAAAAATATGGTGGAGGAAAGTATTAGCCAGGAACATGGCACAAAAGGGGTGGAGAGAGAAAGAGAGAGAGAGAGAGAGAGAGAGAGAGAGAGAGAGAGAGAGAGAGAAACTCTCCTTATCAAGACAAACTATAAAAAGGCATACCACCAGTGACCTACCTCTTCTAGCCACATGCTACTCAACTATAGTTACCACTCAGTTAATCCATTCAACTGGATTTATGCACCAATTGGTTAATATTCTCATAATCCAATCACTTCGCCTCTGAACTTTCTTGAGTTGTCTCACACACATCAACTTTTTGGGAACAGCTCACATCTGTTCACATCTAAACCATAATGGACATATATATGGAGATTCAGGTATCTAGTTGTACACATACATTTGGGCCATAGAAAAGTTCAAGGCTGTGAATATCTTGAAATTTGCTATCATACAAATATTTTTATAGTTAGAGGAGTGAGGATAGGAAAAAAAAATCAGTAAGCACAGTGATACAAAATAGTTTAAACCGGCCTAAAGCAATAACACCATGTGCACCATTCTACTTCACTGTAACTGAACAGGTGTTGTCTTCCTTTTACTCGAGGATAATGTCATTCTTCTCATTTACAATGTTCTTATTGGTTTCAGCAAAGATCCTTTTCCTTGTGTATTCCCATTCATGTCCATGAATTCCCATTAATCTCCATTCCCATCTATAACAACAGAGAAATGTCTCACATGCTTACTATTTCTCTTTCTACATGCTATGAAATATGTGATGTTTTTGAGTATGATAGTTTTCAAATCTATATAAGATGTATCTTTTTCTCTAATCTCCTTATTACATTTATCATTCAACGCTAAGTTCTTTTAGGTCTACTTATATTTTCATGTATGTAGTCTTTTGTTTCAAAGTAACCCAGAGCTCCTCATGATAAGCTCCCAACACTTTTCCCTATTATATTTTCCAGTGTTTGTTTCTTTGATTCCCAAGGCATCCCTAAAACCACACCTATCTATTGAAACAGGGTTTTCCTCAGGTGAGGCTGACCTTTAACTTCTGATTCTACCTCAGCCTCCTGATTCACCACCATGCCTGGCAATGAGCTTTAAAATTTTGCATCAGTTTTAGGTTTACAGAAATATTGTGTCCAAAGTACAGAGAGTTCCCAATACCCCCTTGTAGCGACCCCTCACCGGCAAAGGAAAACACGACACAGGATTCTTCTTACAGCAGTTTATTCAGGCCTTGTTTCATGTATCATCTTCTAGTGACCCCTCGCCGAGCGCCCATGCATAGCCTAATAAAGCTTACTCAAGTCCAATCCAAAGCTGCCACGCGGGGTTTTCTCATAGGGTGTTGAGGGACAGCACGCCAACTCTCCCAAATAAGGAGTTGTTTACCAAGATCCACAATGCAGACCAGCGCCGTATTCTAATGGCGGCAACGGGTCTACAAACACGGCTCACCACACCCCCTCCCACAAACAACCTCACATATTCTTAGCAACCTACATTAGTGTAATGAGGTTATTATATGTGATAGACCAATATTTATATGGTATTGACTAAAGCCCATGGTTTACAACAGGACACAATCTTGGTGTTACATGGTTTTAGGGGTTTTGGCAAAAGTATAAAGCCATGTAGCCACCAACAGAGTATCTCTTTTAAAAGATCCTGTCCTCTAACTGACCATCCCTTCCACTCAAGCTCTGTAACCATTATCACAAGAATTCATTTGTTGTACTGATTTTATTTTCATTTCTCAATTTTCCAGAGATTGTTTCATCCTCAATCATGGCTCATAAAAAGACAGTTCTATCTTAAATTCTCTCATTCAAGTTTAGTAACACAATGTATGTGGCAAGAACCTACATTTTGTTACAGAAGGTAACATAATTCATAAGACTTTTAATGACTTAGTCTGCTAAAGTAACAAAAGTTACAGGGAAAATGTTCAAAACTAAAATTTTATCCAGATAGTAATGTCCTAGTCAGCTTTTTCACTGCTGGGAGTAAAGGACCCAATCAGAACAACTGTAGAGGAAGAAAAGTTTATTTGAGAGCTCACCGTTTTAGAGGTCCTTAGACCATGGAAAGACAGCTCCATTCCTTGAAGCTGGAGGCAAGGCAGAATATGATGGTGGAAGAGTGTGGCAGAGGGAAGCATCTCTCATGGCAACCAGGAAGCAGAGAGAGACTGCTGTCACCAGATGCAAATATATTCATCATAACTGTGACTCCAATAAACCACTTCCTCCAGCCACACTCCACCTGCCTCCATTTACCACTCAGTTAATCCCACCATGGATTAACTCACTGATTAGTTTAATTAGTCATTTCTTCTCCAAGCCTTCTTGCATTGTTTCACATGTGAGATTTTGGAAGACACCACATCTAAACCATAAAAATTAACATTTCTGAAAACTTTGTATCAGCTCGTGGAACTTTGTCCAAGTTAACTCCAGAATGAGACCCTTCCCTGGAGCTCCATGACACAAATATTTCCCTGTTCTTTTTTGTGTGATATGTCCTTCTGCTTCTTATTCTCTGTCTCTCCTCTGTGGACCTCCTATGAGTTCTTGTGCTAAAGGGAACAGTTGCCAGGTCATCTTCTGAAAAACACTTCCCAAAGCCTTTGAACACTGACATGGCCCAGAGTATTGATTATGTCATCTATCTGCAACTTTGATGTATTGTCTTCCCACACTTCCTTTCAAATCCTTCAGCATTTACCTAAAGATTGCAAACATCCAACTATGGATCTCTTGATTTCACTCCTCAGCACTCTGAACATGACACACAAATCCACTTTCCTAAATTAACGTTTTTAAAACAAACATTTGTTATGACCTCCCCTATTTCCTCCTCTTGATATGGTTCCACGTGGCATCAAGATCCTCTTATGCCATGTGCTTTTCTGTGCATTCTGACATCATTCTAAGATTAGCAGGGATGCTTACATCTGTGATTTTCATTGTTGACTAGTATTATAATTCCGCTAGACCACAAGTACAACGTCCTACTTGTTAAACATTTTACCCTAAATCTCAAGTTATTTTATCTTTTCTTGTTTTTCACATATTACTTTTGTTCTGAAATAAGCTTACCTGTTCCGATCTTTCTTAGGTTTGGGCGGAAGGTGGTCTACCTGTGGTGCTTACTCCAGCTGGGCATCGTTGACACCGCGGCAGCCTTCGCCCCCACCTTCCTCATTTACTGCATATTACGCTTCTGGGCTGGGTTGAGTGTCATGACTATTATGATAAATGCTTTTTGTCTCAGTAAGTCAATAATTTAAGACTTTCATTTTCTCCATGCCTGAATTGACTGTGAAATTACCCTTTGCCTGGAATGACAATTATGTACATATTTTATTCCAGTGTCAGAATGGACAACATCCAAAAGGAAGTCTGTAGGAATAGTCCTGATGATGTCTTCCTACAGTATTGGGCAGATGTTCCTTGGAGGACTGGCTTTTGCCATTAGAAGCTGGCACACACTACATCTGGCTGTGTCTGTACCCTTGCTTGTCCTCCTCTTGCCTTCCAGGTATGAACAATCTCCATGTTATTTACAAGAGAGGCCAAGGTGATAACAGAAGAGCTATGTCACTGGGTATGTTTTTGGTTCCAATATTGGTCCCTATTAACACCCCTTGTGCCATCCAAGGTGCAAGAGAGGAAATAGGATGGCAATTTGAATGGTGGTTGGCACTATGCATCACCATTTTTGTATAATAGGCAGAAAATTGTCATGAAATAATTGTAATACAAAAAATTAAACATTTTATTATACTTTTATGAGTGCAGCATAATAATACATAATAGTGGAGTTCATTGTGACATACTCATAAATGCACATAATATAATTTCCTATGTCTTATTTTCCCTTACCTCCCTTTTGCCTACCCTCTCACTCCCTCTGATTGTCTTCCTTATGGTATCTCTTCTACATGTTTATTTTTTTAATTGGTGCAGTATGATCATATATAAACATGGAGCTCATTGTGATTTGTATATACATGGACATAGCACACTTTGGTTGATTTCAATGCCCAGCATCTCTCCTTGGCATCTCTCATTCTTGCCTGTCTTACTCTGCTATACTGTTCTCCCTTCTATTCTCATGAGCTCCTTTTATTTTTCCCTTTTTTTCTCTTTACCTTTCACCTATGAAAGAAAACATTCAATCTTTGGATTTCTGAGTCTGGCTTATTTCACTTAGCATTATGCTTTTCAGTTCCATTTATTTACCAGCAAATAACATAATTTCATTCTTCTTTATGGCTGCATAAAACTCTATGTGTGTATATACCATATTTTCTTTATCTGTTCATCTGTTGATGGACACTAACAATGGTTTTATAACTTGGCTATTGTGAATTGCACTCCTACAAACATTGAAATTCATGTATCACTAGAGTATACTGACTTGGGGGTTTTGGCATAAATTTCCTAAGTCTGGAACAGCTGAGTCATGTGGTGGTCCCATTCCTGGTCTTTTGAGAAATCTCCAAACTGCTTTCCAAAGTGATTTTACCAATTTGCAGTCCTACCAATGATAAATGTTATTTTATTCCGTTTTTTTGCCACTGTGATTTAAAGACCAACCAACAATTGTAATTATCTTTTCACATTGTTCATTAATAGTGTATATGAATACAACTGACCTTCTATGTTGACTTTGTATTATGCTATTTGGCTGCATTTTCTATTCATTAGCTAAAATATCTTTTTTTCTGGAATCTTCAGGATTTTTTACATGGAAGACCATATCATCTGCAAACAGATAATTTTACTTTCTCCTTTTTCATATAGATGCCTTTTATTTCTTTTTCTTGCCTAATTAATCCATCTATAATTTTTAGTTCTATGTTGAAAATAAGTGGTGAAAGTGGGCATGCTTGCCTTATTTCTGATCTCTGAGAAAAATCTTTTAGTCTTTCACCATTGAGTATGATGTTCACTGACTTTGGTCCTACAAAAACATTATGATATGTGAATTATAGATAAAAATTATATATCAAAAAAATTGGAATGCAAATGGATGATTTATACCATTTGATCCTTGTTTACTGATCTCTATAATTATTTTCACACATTAATGGACAGACATGTCCCTCATCTTAGTGGAAGACAAGTCCAGTGGAAAAGGAAGATTTGGTTAGAAATTACACTGCCACAATAATAAAGTATGTATAAATGGAAAGGCAAATGAATCTCAAGGTTGTATGGAAATTAAATAGTTGAATATTTACTGTACCTTTCTTGTCTTCTTTAATCAGGAAGCTGGTGGAGTCCTTCCGGTGGCTGATTGTCAGAAATCAGCTAGAAAAGGGTGTAAAGGAACTTAGAAGAGTTGCACACATAAATGGAAAAAAGAATGCTGAAGAGACCCTGACCATAGAGGTGATCTGGAAGGGGGACCTGGGATGAAATGACATGAACTCATAATCACACTAGGCTATGTTCCTGGGTCTCTGGGGGTGACTAAAGGGTCTGAATGAGAATGCTGAATGAGCTCTTACATCTCGTCCTGGTTCTTCATTGATTCATTATAGAGAGGGGACCTTGAACAAATGTATCAGGTATTTGGACATACATGTTGCAATTCATTCATGTAAGTACACAAATTGTACCCTAATTCATTTCTCACTACTTAAATAAATCATGGTCCCTTTTAAAGAAAATCAGAAAGCTAGTAAGACAAAGAGTAATTGACCATGAAAAGGATAGCATTAAAATTATTTTTAATTCTGTCCATTTATTTATCAATTCAACAAATATTTATTGTGCAACAAATGAATCACATACTCTTCTACACAATATAAACATGACAGTAAAATATATAAAAGTCCTTTCCTACTTCTTTTGACATTTAACATTGTTCTCACTAGAGAGTAATAAAATTGCACCTCTGTGAAAAATCTTTGGACAAATCTTTTTTTCCTTTTTTTCTCCCTGAAGTTCCCTCCTCATGGGAGCCAAATTCTGATGTGGCTTATTCAAAAATTACTCTCATTAACACATTTAAAAATACTTACGCATCTACTGTGTGCCAGCAGGTTAATATATATTAATAAGCAAATAAATCAGATTCTCTGCCTTTAAGGAACTTACATTTTAATTTGGGACAAAAATTAAGAGACAATTACAAAAAGAGTGATATGACAAGTCACGTGAAAAGAATTTTTGAGAGAACACAGCTTTAATGGACCAAAAAGTATTGGGGGTTAACTGATAAAAAGGAAGCTAAAAAGCACTTCAGGCATCACACAAACTGCTTGGTGGAGGGACAACTAATAGACTTCCCCACATTAACCCTGAAAGAGAGCAAATGCCCTAGACTAGAAATTGTTAATAAAGGAAAACACAAAGGATAGATTCTATGGCTACAAAATTATTCTATCCTTCTGACTCACTAAATAAATTGACACATTCTCAATTTCCCCAAAAGTCTTATTTTTATAGCATGTTCTTGAAGTCCAGAATATTTTTTAATTGCCATCATTTGAACTAAAGACTTCACTCTTGATAGAAGAGCACTCTAACACTGAGCTACACCCTGACCCCCAGAACCAAAACACTTCAATGAGATCCAAATGTGGATCAGACTACTTATGTGTTGTTCTCTAATCATAGAACCTGTATTTGTAAATCCACGAAACTAAAGAGACAAAACACATGTCTGAAATATATCCAACATATACTGATGATATAAGTTTAGAATAAATACTGGAGACATTCCTATTCAAAAAGGAGATTTGAGATACAGAGTATATAGCAATTATGAAATCAAGAAAGGCAAAGTTTAGAAATTTTGTGAGTAGGTTTAAAGGTTTGGAAAATTGAAGCAATTTGGCTCTCACAACCTCTTGTCCCTTGGCTCCAACTTCCAAATTTCTTCCCTCTCATAAAATGCATAAACATATTTTCATCTAAAAGGTGTTTTAAGTTAGCTTATCAGTGTAGCATTTTGGGGAGCCTTTCTCATTTGATACTATTTCTGTTCCCTTCAGTCAAGTTGGAAATGTTTATTGTGACAAATATTTCTCAAAAACATTGTGGAGCCCCTATGAAATTTCTTGGAGTTTACAAAAAATTTTAATTCTCTAACAAATATCTTTGATATAAACCCTTCTCAGCTTTGGGTGCCTGAAATGGCTGAAAGAAAACACATCTAATTATCTCAGAAGTTCTATTGTTTGTTTGAGATCTGATCCCCCTGAAATCTTGAGAAACATTGTACAGGAGGTGATGTATATGCTAATTACGTATTGATTCGTGAATGTTAAGACATCCTTGCAAGATTGGCATAAAAATCAACTTGGTATTGGTGTGTAAATCTTCTCAATATATGATTGAATATGATTAGCTAATATTTTATTAAGAATTTTTTCATCTTAGTTCATCAGGGTAATTGGCCTGTAGTTTTCTTTCCTTGATGTGTCTTTATCTGGTTGTAGTATGAGGATGATAGTGGCTTTATAGAATAAATTTGGAAGTGTTCCATCCCTTTCTATTTTGTGGAATAATTTGAGGACCATTAGCATTATTTCTTCTTTGAAATTCTGGTAGAATTCAGATAAGAATCCATCTGACTCTGGGCTATTCTTTGTTTGAAGACTTTTCATTACTTCTTCTATCTCATTGGTAGTTATTATTCTGTTCAGGCTGTCATTCAAAGCTGTGAACAATTATTTCCATATGAAAAACAAACTCTCCCTTTATTCAAGTTTATACTCTGACCATCTTGATCATTTTTCTTTTTCTTTTATTAGTTCTGTTTTAATTATGCAAGACAGTAGAATTTACTTTGGTATATTTATACAAGCATGGTTTTTCTCTCTTTCTAATTAGGATCTCAGTCTTGCAGATGTACACAATTGTGAGTTTCACTGTGTTCTATACATATGTGAACATATGAGATAATGCCAGATTCATTCCACTGTCTTTTCTATTTCTATCCCCCTCCCATCCCTTCATTCCTCTTTGTCTAATCCACTGAACTTCTATTCTTCTCCTCCTCCCACCTTATTTTGTGTTAACATTCATGTAACAGATAAAAATCTAACCTTTCGTCTTTTGGGATTGGTTTATTTCCCTTAGCATGTTAGTCTCCATATCCATTCATTTTCTGGAAAATATCATAAATTCATTCGTTTTATAGCTGATTTATATTCCATTGGGTATGGTATATATGCCACAGTTTCTTTATCCATTCATCTCTTGATAGGCATCTAGTTTTGTTCCATAAGTCTGCTATTGTGAATTGTTCTGTTAACATTGATGTAGCTGCATCACTATAGTATGCTGATTTTAAATCCTTTGGCTATATACTGAGGAGTGGAATAACTGGTGTTTCCATTCCAATTTTTGAGGAATCTTCATACCACTTTCCAGAGTGGTTGCACTATTTTGCAGTCCCACCAGCAATGTATGAGTGTTTCCTTTTCCCTACGTCCTCATTAACACTTATTGTTCCTTATATTCTTGATAATTGCTATTCAGACTGAAATGAGATGAAATCCCATTGTAGTTTTAACATGCATTTCTCTAATTTCTACAGATATTGAACCTTTTTTTCATATATTTGTTGGCCATTCCTATTTCTTTTTTTGATATGTGTCTTTTTAGTTTTTTGTCCCATTTATTCACTGGTTTTGGGTGAAGGTGATTATTGTAGTGGTGGTGGTGGTGGTATTGTTGTTAAGCTTTTTGAGTTCTTTTTATATCTTGGAAATTAATCCCCTATCTGATGTGTGGGTAGCAAAAATCTTCTCCCATTCTGAAAGCTCTTTCTTCATACTCTTGATTGTTTCCTCTTCTAGAAATAAGCTTTTTAGTTTTATACCAACCAGTCTGTTGGTTTTTTATTTTACTTCTTGTACTTTAGGAATTTTGTTAAAGAATTCTGTTCCTAAGCCAACATGGAGTGTTGTGCCTACATTTTTTTTTCTATCAGGTGCAGTGTTTCTATCTAATATCTAGGTGACCACCTTAATCTTAGAATCTTTTCTTTCATAGGTAGAGTTAATATTGATTAAGTCACCATATGACCCAACATGATCTACACATTCAATGCAATACCCATCAACATATCAACAACACTCTTCACAGATGTAAAAAAAAAAAAGAAAAGGAGTCCTAGAATTCAAATGGAAAGACAGAAGACCCATAATAGCCAAAACAATTTTTAACAAAGAAAATATATCACTGGATATATCACAATATCTGATTTAGAATTATACAACAGAGTTGTATTAAGAAAAATTACAGTAAATGCTGGTGAAGATGCTGGAGGATTGGAACTCTGATATTTGAACTCTGTAAGAATGTAAATTACTACAGTCACTATGGAAATCAGAATAGAGATTCCTTAAAACTAGAAATAGAACCACCATATGACAGGTATAAAAGTGAGTAATTCAGTATTTATCCAAAAGACTTAATATCATCATACTCTAGAGATCCATTCACACAAATGTCTATGGCAGCACAAATCACAAGAGCCAACTTATGGAGCAGGTGTTCATCAACAGATTAAGGGATAAATACAGTGCTATATTTATAAACAACAGTGTTGTATTCAGCCATAAAGAAGAATGAAATTTTATCATTTGCCAAAAAATAGATGGAATGTGAGATCATTATGTTAAGTGAAATAATCCAGACTCATAAATTCAAGGTCATATGTTTTCTCTCATATGTGGAAGCTGGATAGAAAAAAGGAAAAAATGAGAATCTCATGAAAGTTGAATAATACTGTCAGAGTAAAGAAAATTATCAGGGGGACAAAATAGAATTTAATGGGGTGTTACTTGAAAAAGAAATTAACCGAATTATGTTATGTGCATATAGGAATCAGCAACAATGAAACCCACTATTTTGTATAATTGATATTTGCACCAATAAAATTTTGAAATCAAAAAATTATTCCCCATATGTGCTCTCAAGCTGATGGTTTTAGCTTACTACTGGAGCACTTTGAGCATACAGGCACATCTCCCAAACAGAGTATATTTTTCTTTTCTACGTCTGGTAGGAGGAAAATAGTAATAAATTATGACAGGGAAATTATGCATTTTCTTGCAATCATAAACCTCTGCACTATCTTTAAACCAGACAGTAGCACTAGATTTTAGCAGGGAGGAGGGGTCAATATTTTTTCATGCCAAGTAGTAGAAGGGAATGTAAGGATTCAAAAGGATCAAATGCCTCAACTCAGGTATAACCATCCCCAAGTAAGTCCTATTTCTCAATTAAGGCCAGGTCCTTTCACAAAGAAACAACAAAAGGTTCCTATCTTCAAGTTTTATTGACAATATTTTTAAAATTGAGTCCTGGGACTTGGACTTCAGATTTTTCTGCCCTCTACCTGTGGAAGATGAGGGTATCCTTATACTCTGATCTTTATATACATCTTCTGATTTTCACATTCCACTTTAGATTGGTAGTCAATTACTACTAGTCTTCCATTGTCTTTTAAAAATGCATTTGTAGTACTTTACAAGAGTTCTAAATATCAGCATACTCTAGAGATACATTCTAAAGTCCTAACAATTATTCCTTTTTTAAAACTTTTGAAATTCTGGGATCATAACCAACCCATCCCAGTTTACCACCAGTGAAAATTTTAATACCTGAATTACAACTGCATGCACCAGCTAACACCACTATGGGATATCCATTGGATAATCTAGTTCTCGATTATTATTATAGCATTAATTTATTTGACTACTACTATACAATTACAAGTATTATAGATCTGCTTTCCTAGAAACTGAAAAATCTGAGATTTGTGTGCAGAAGGTTTATTGAGGTTTTCTTTCAAAACATTATCTGTGAGGAAAAAAATGGAATTAGGCAGAAATAAGTGTCAGAGTATAATGCAGTTCTAACAGAGGACCCAGGAGATCTTGCAAGAAACACTGGAACTAGGATTGCCCATGAGAATTCCTCTGCCTTGAAGCAAGGAAACATGATTCTAATATGCTTGTATTCTTCAGTTATTGGATAAGGACAAGGGTCTGGCATTGGTTGAGGAGATTTTCTTTATCTAAGTGCAATAACCAGTGGGGGCCACAACAACCAGCCATCAACACTCCCAGAAGCTGGAGAAGTGAATAAAACATGTGAGTAGGATACAACAGCATCCACTAACCAGAGATTAGAAAACTCTTTCCAGAATAATACCTGTTTTTGTAAATAAAATATTATTGAAACATAGCCAAACCCAGTTGATTTTGTATTATGAATGACTGTTTTGTGCTACAGCATCATAATTAATCAGTTGCAATAAAAATCATTGCCTGTATGGCCTAAAATATTTGTTTACTGGAGCTCAGGGGAAAAAAATTGTCTGTGGCGTCCTGTGCTAAGTCACTATAGGGTTTTTTCTTTGTGTGTGTGTGGGGGGGTGGTGATTGTTTGTTTTGTTTTGTTTGTTTGATTGTTTTTGTTTTGTTTTGTTTTGGTCTGCTTTGGGAGAGTTGATTTGTTTGTTCTGCACCAGGGATTGAAGCCAGGGTGCTTAACCACTGAGCCACATTCCAGGCCCTTTATATATTTTATTTTGAGAGAGAATCTAGATAAGTTGCTTATTGTCTCACTAAGTTGCTGAGGCTGGCATTGAACTTGCAATTCTCCTGCCACACCCTCTTAATCTGCTGGGATTACAGGCATGTGCCACCATGCACAGCTCACTGTATTTTTATTATCAGAAATAATTTATTACTATTTTGAAAATTATTAAGTGCCTTCTCTTGTGCTGAATACATATGATATTTATATCATGAAAATACTGCGTATCTTTAAAGAGTTATCTTTAATAACTCCAGTAAGAACGTGAGGGGCTACTTTCACTTTTTAACTGATGCATGATAAATTTACATACTTGGTGATATTATGTGACATTCTGATGCATGGATACATTGTGTAATGTTCAACTTGGAGTAAGGATATCTATCATCTAAAATATTTATTCTTTGTACTGAGAACATTCAAAATTCTTTATTCTAGCATTTCTGGAAATACAGAATATGTTATCATTATCAATATACACCCTGTTGTACCATAGAACACCAGAACAGAACACTTATGTACCTATTGACCAACCTTCTCCAAAATATAAAGTAACAGTAGTGTCAGGCCTAAAAGTTCTAACCCTGAAACCAAATGTTTTTGCAACTATTATGTTTCACTTGGAATTTCACCAAATTTCATCTGCTATAACATCTGGCCTGAGTGCAAATCATACTCTAACAATAGATACCCTAATTTTTACACTCCTTTAACTCTGTACACTCCAATCATGAGTGGAGGCAGCATGCCTACAATACCCAGAAATGGTCTACTTGGAACCAAATCATAAAGTGGACCTAGATTTTATAAAATCCATTGATTTACAGAGATAAACTCTAATTCTAACAATGAGGGGAAATTCTCATTTCCAGTGAATAGGAAAGAAAGTTCAAATCCTTAAACAAGTACCTTTTCATTGTTTTCAATTTACAGTGCAAATCTTTTGGTTAATCCTTTTTTCCTCTCATAAACTAAGTACTGGCTTTATTCATAGATAGTTTTCATTCTCCCCAATCCCTTTGTACATGAGGTAGATCATTTAGCATCCATATTCCCAACGAGTCAGAGGTTTCAAAGATAGTGAGTATATCCTCTAGTACTTACCACTATACATGTCCATTATTGACATACTATAAATACCTGTTGTTTTGTTGTTTAAGTTTGTGAAATCCACCATACAGAAGGAGTTGGATGCAGTCCAGGTCAAACCGTCTGTTTTTCAATTGTTCCATGCACCCAAAGTGATTATGAGAACATGCTGCTTGTGCCTTTTCAGGTAAGTTCCATCTGGTGTTTAGTAACTTCAAAATGTTTAAGATGCAACCACATTCCTCCTTTCAAAAAATATTAGCCATGAGGGACAAATATGGTAGAATAGAGAAAGGTTGCACCTCCCAGTTTCTCTATGGCTTTGAATTGAATCAATGGGAATACTGTTTCTCAGTGAGGTAGATGTTTAAGGGAATTCACTAAAATTCAATAATGGACAGTCAGAGATTTGGAGAGGCCGAGAAGTACTGACATTTCAAATGGAGGACATGAAAGAGTATATCAGTGCCAAGACATTGTGGCTACACCACGCAGGGGAGGGGTGTGACAAAAAGATTTTTAAAAAGCAGAATAAATTGGCATGGAGATACCCAGAGGACAGAAAGACAGCCTGAAATTAGCTTACTCTGAGTCTACACTTGGAGTTGGTGATTCAAAATTGCTCGGTATTTCGCAAGTTGGGAGGAGAGAGCCAAAGTGGGAAGCCAACTCATGGAAGTCATACTAGTTGTGGGGAACACCTTTGCTACAGGAACCAAAAGAAAAGATTGGATGGCATCTACCATAAGGTCTAGAATACATGCTGTTGAAACAGGCACATAGAAGAATTCAGTGCAGGGATATAGAGAGGAGTGCAACTTACTTTCCCATGGAGTCTGGCGACTCATTTAATCAGTTGAAGATATTTAGGAAGCCAAACAGGCAGGCATGATTACATTCAAGGATTGTAAACCTTGGAAGGTCATAGTCCTGGGTGGTGAAGTGTGACCTGCTGTGCCCACTCCACCCAGGAAACTTGGTTACCTTCTGAGTGAAATTTATCAAGAAGTGTGTGGGATTGGGACAACCAGAATAGATTGCCATCTACCTGATCTTATTGGTTTCTTTTACTAATATCTCCAGAATATGACAAATAATGGATAGATCCCAACTGTGGGAACTTTCCATTTAGATCCTTGCCTCATCTCTGCCCTAAGCACACTTTGACCTAGTCTTTTTAGACAATATTCCAACACATGGTATTTCTCATACATACTACCTTGTACTGATGAACTTAAAATCTAAGAGTCATTTCAATGAGCATTGAGTCCAACCACTCCATATTTGGTTCTAGGTATATCAATTAAGAAAAAGGAAAAAGGGCTAATAATCCCCAAATCTTTGCTATAAAATGCACATACACCAGGAAGAAATGGAAGGAAGAGCAGTCTGGCATTTGTAGTAAATATGCATCCTTGGTCAGTTTCAACCACCACAATGAAGACAATTCTTTCATCCATTGTTGACAAATTTTTTGTTCTTCCAGTTGTATTTGCAGTTTGGTTTATATGTATACATAAATATGTGTGAATGTATGTATGTATATACATTTTCTTTTTCATATTTTACCAGATTTTTATTTTATTATTTTTTTAGGGTTAGTGAGGTTTTTTCTTATTTTTCTTTTCTTTTCTTCTTTTTTTTGCTATTGTGACTCTCTGTCCTATATTCTCCTTCAAATACTAAAATTTTTCTGTTCTCTCTCTCTCTCTCTCTCTCTCTCTCTCTCTCTCTCTGTGTCTCTGTCTCTCTCACTCTCCACCCCCATCCCTCTCTCTCTCTCCACCTTATTTCATTTTTTTAAAAAAAATTTCCTCTTTCTTTTTGGGCTTTATGCCTCTCTTCTGTTTTATTTCTGTTCTTTATCATATTCCAATCTTTATTTTCACTTTTCCCATATTTTCTCTTAATGAACCAAAATTTTCCCATATTTTAACACTATTTTATGTAATTTATGCCCACACCATTCATATTGTTACAGTTATTATCATTTTGGAAGTCATAGTTGAAACCTGGTATTTCCTTTAGTGAAAAATCTAGTTGCTAGATTGTAATTTTTGCTGTTGCTAACTTTTGACCCCACCATTCCTGTTTTGTGGCTATTAGTGCTTAAAATGTCATAGTTGGCATCTGGTATTCATTTTAATTCTATATATTGTTTGCTACTATTGTTGCTGTTATTTATTTTTCTTTTTCTGTGAGATGCTAGAGATCTGGTATAACACTTTAACTTCATTGGGTAGATATTATGCTTCTGAGCCACACACTCTACCCATTTAGAAGACAGCACATTTTCTTCCATATATTACCTAACTCACTCAAACTTCAGCAACACAATATCACAAAGAGTAGGAGAGAACCCCCAAACTGACAACCAGGAAAGACTACGGGGACTCAGTGCTCACTCATAAACATATTTTCTCATAGAAAAAGCAAAGAGAAATAACACAAAGACTGTGAATACCACATCTATGAAGCGTTTCAAAATAGATTGTTCCTATACCCCTTTAATATATACAGAATTATCAAGTCCAGAAAAGCAATCACAGAGGGTATACTCCTTATGCCCTTGTGTATATAACACAATTTCCTGACTTACCAGAAGGACCTCCCTCTTTTGGGATCTCATAGAAAGTGGAATTCTCCATCTCCAATGCAATAAACACTATTGGAGTATACTAAGCTTGATATATGTTGTTCCCAAAATCTTCTAGCTTTCAAGGTCTGTGTTGAAAAATCTGCCATTATCCTAATTGGTTTCCCCCATATGTAATCTAATTCCTTCCTCTTGTGACTTTTAAAATTCTCTTCTTATTCTGTATGTTGGGCCTTTTTATTTTAATGTGACTTATTGTGGATCTGTTCTGATTTTGTACATTCAGCATCCTGTAGGCTTTTTGAATTTGGACTTCCAATTCATTCTACATGTTTAGAAAGTTTTCTAATATTATTTCACTGAATAGATTGTTCATTCCTTTGGTTTGTACCTGTATGCCTTCCTGTATCCTAATAACTCTTAAATTTGGTCTTTTTATGCTATCCCATATTTCTTGAACTTCTGTTCATGGTTTCTTACCATTATCACTGTGTGGTCTATGTTCTTTTCAACTTTATATATTTTATCCTCATTATCTAATGTCCTGTCTTCCAAGTGGTCTACTCTGCTGGTGATGCTTTCATTTGAGCTTTTAATTTGGTTTATTGTTTCTTTCATTTCAAGGATTTCTGTTCTTTTTTTTTTTTTTCGAACCTCTGTTACCTATTGAGGTAATTTTTGCTTCCTGTATTTGTCAAAGTGATCTTTCATTGCCTGTATTTGCTCTCTTATATCTTCCTTGAGTTCACAGAACATTTTAACCATGCCAATCCTAAACTCCCTTCTCTGTAATTTCTTTTGCTGTGGCTGCCAATGATTCTAATGATGTGATGTCTTCATTTGTTTGGGGCACTTTCTTTCCTTGTCTTTTCATGTTGCTCTTGTGTCTTCCTTTCCAGCTCTGAGGGTCTGATGTGTTGTTGTTTTTACCCTATAAGTTTATACTGCTCTTGCAGGGTTCCAAGACCTCTCCTTTGTGGGAAAGTACAATGTTAACAGATCCCAATATCAACTATATAACACTTTTGATCAATTTGTTGTTATTAAGACATTTAAAGTTTAGTCTCAATGTCCGGAATTGTTGCATTCAATTATTATCTAAAATATAATCAGTAATTTTGTAAAAAGATTTCCAGTTTCTGATGGTGGACAATGAACTGGGGTGGAGCATAGGACGATAAGCTGAGGAGGTAGGATGTGAGGATAAAGAGCTAGTATCTTAGGAAGTGCAAAAGAGAAATCTAAGAAGAGGGTTAGTATCAAGGGAATAGACAGGAAGTAATTTAGGGTAGACAAATACGTGGGAAGACAGTGGAGTACATAAAATCACACATATGTATTCAGAAAAATACAGATGTTAAAATAGTAAAATTTGAAGGGGGAAAGAAAAGTGAAAGAAGAAAAAGAAAAAGAAAAAAGGGAGCATATTCAACACCTCTATATTATATTATTCAGATGACTCAGTCCTCAAATCCTATTTCATGCAAAGTTCTTGGTTTCACATATGTTGGGGATGTGAGTGCCAGAGAATAGAGGGGTAGAAGAAAAAAAAAAACTTGAAGGAAAAACCAGGTTTGTTGCTAGCTTTAGAGATCTGTATCTTTCCTGCTTCTCTTCTCATCCAATAGGTGAGGTTGTCTGTTGTAAGCTGGTGTCTCTGCCCTCAGAGTGGTGGAGGTAACCTAGGTGGGAAGACTGGTCCTGGTGCAGGGCACCTGGAGAGGGGAATAGCATCCACCAGTCCCTGCAGAGAGACTTCACCTCACCTTTTGGGACTCCTTGTATGACCTGAGTGCCCAGTCCTATCTTCCTATCTTGCCTGGAGATTTCCCAGTTCCTGGTCTCTCTGTTAGGCTCCAAACTTTAGCCCCATATCCCTCTCCCTTACCAGTTCACAATTGAGGAAACTCTCACCCCAGAGCTCCCATAGGTGGGCCCTGGTCACACTGCACACCTGTGTTGGGCAGCTACTGTGTTGGGTTACCTCCACTGGGGAAGAGGGGAAGTACTAAAATACATTGCAAAACAAGTACCAGGAAACCTATACTATTAAACACACCTGGAAATATATTCAACAATTTACAACACCCTGATATCCAAAAACACTTCACCAAGAAAAGATTGTACCCTTCAAAGTTCTTCACATAAAATTGGAAGATAAATCCATCTCAACAGATGCACTAACCTCAAAACTGAAAATATGAAAAATTGTGGTAAAGTGAAATCTCCAAAGGTAAAACTCACAAGCAATGACTCCAAAGACATTGCATCACATAAAATGCTGGATAAATAATTCAAAAAGATAACTATTTAAAAATAGGATTGAATACCAAGAAAATTCAGGAAAACTGAATAAATTAAGGAAGGAATTAGAGAATATGAATGAGAAATTCAACCAAAAAAAGATAGAGATCTTGAAAAACCTGAGAAGAAATCTTGAAAATAAAAGGCAAGTAAATCAAATAAAAAATACAGCTGAAATTAAAGTGTTTTAAATATGTTAGAGCAGGTAGAAGATATAATCTCAAACCTTAGAGGTAATGTCATCATTCAGACAGTATTTAAGAAAAAATGAAACTACAATAACAATATACAATATCTCTACGACATTATAAGAGTGAATTGAAGGCCCATAGATATTGAGTAATGAGAAAAGATAGAGTCTAATAGCATTAATAACCTACTCAGTGACATAATAAAAGAAAATGTTTGAAACTTTGGGTATGAGATGAATATCCAGATATTGGAGGCATGTAGAGACCAAAATAGACAAGACCAGAAAAGAATCTCTCTATGACATATTATAAGTTAAATACTAAAAAATAGAGACAAAAGAAAGAATTTAAAAGCTGCCAGAAAATAATGTTGAGTCACATTTATAGGTAAACCAATAAGGATAATTATGATTTAGCTCAGACCCTATAATCTAGGAGGTCTTGGCATTAAATAATACAAACTCTGAAATAAAATATTGCCAATCAAGATTGCTATAGCCAACAAAGCAATCAGTCACAATGGAAGAAAAAGTAAAAACTTCCCAAGATAATGATAAAATAAAAGAATTCATTATCTGTAACCGAGCACTACAGGAAATACTTAAAGAAGTACTACACAAGGGATACAAGATGGCAGGCCAGACAGAGGAAGCATTCTGTGTTGCTCCATGACCTGTGATTCAAGAAATGAGAATACTGCTTCTCTTGAGCAACATTCCTGCTTTTGCACAGGAATCATGGTACTGTGTCATGCAGGGCTTCAGGCCTCTACATCAGAGTAGGTTTCCCAAATACTCACCCATGCAGGACTACCAGGTGTCTGAGAGTGACCATAGGCATCAGCACCCACATAAAATTTCATCCACCCACCTGAGCAGAAATCCCAGATGCAGCTCCCACACAGAATACCTGACAGCTACCCAAACACTGTCTCTTGCCTCAGCCTCCCAAGCAGCTGTGATTATAGGCATGTGCCACCACCCCATCTGGGTAATAATTTGAATGGACTAACTAGGTGGTTCTGACAGGCAGATGGGATATGGCTGGTGAAAATAGGTCTCTGAGGGTGTGACCTTCGAAACTATATCTGGCTTTCCTGGCCCCTCTTTGTCTCTCTGTGTTTCCTAACTACCACAATATGAACAATATTCCTCTTTCATAATGTTCTTTCTGCCTTATTGTGGGCCCAGAGCAATGGAGATAGCTGACCATGGACTGAACCTCTGAAACTATGAGACTAAGTAAACTTTTATTCCTCTAAATTTTTCTAGTCAAGTATTTTGCTTACACCAACAAAAACAACAAACACAACACTTCTGATCTAAATAATACCATAAATCAAATGCACACAACAGAAAATTATAGGCTATTTCATCCAATAACAAGCAAATTCACTTTCTTCTCAATAGCTCATAGAACATTCTCCAAAATAGATCATATTTTAAGTCACATAACAAGTGTTTGAAAATACAAAATGATCAATATAATTACTTTTATCTTATCAGATCATAATGGAATTAAATTAGAAATAAACACAAAATTACATAAGCACATGGGGAATAAAAATTATCTTTTGAAAAGAAATAGGTCTTAGATGAAATGATAAGAGAAAGTTTTAAAATTTCTAGATGGGGTAGAGAGAGAAGATGAGAGGGGAGGGGTGGGGAGGGGGGATAGTAGAGGATAGGAAGGGCAGCAGAATACAACATACAATGGTATTGCAGTATGTAAAAACATGGATGTGTAACCGATGTGATTCTGCAATCTGTATATGGGGTAAAAATGGGAATTCATAATCCACTTGAATCAAATGTATGAAATATGATATGTCAAGAGCTTTGTAAAGTTTTGAACAACAAATAATAAAAACAATTTCTAGAATCAAACAAAAATAGTAATACAACATTAAAAAGTTCTGGGTCATTATGCAGAGTTATTTTATAGAAGTAGATGATTATATTAAAAAAAGAGAAACAAATCCTAAATAAACAATCTAATATTATATCTCAATGTGCCATAAAAGCATGAACAAACTAACCCCAAAATGAGAAAAAGAAGTTCAGAGCCAAAATAAATGAAATAGTGTGGGGTAGGGTGGGGGGAGTATCAATGTAACAAATAGTTCATTCCTTGAAAAGTTCAAAGATTGATACTTTGATAGCCAAACTAGCCAAAAGAAAGAGTTTAGAGACCCAAATCAATAAAACTAGTGATGAGAAAGGCAATATCACTACAAACATTTTTGAAATCAAGAGGATCATTAGGGACTACTTTAAAAATTTATATTCCAATAAACTGGAAAATCTAGAAGATAATGACAATTACTAGACATCTATGACTTATCCATACTGAGAAAAGAGAATATAGAAAACCTGATCAGAACATTATCAGGGAATGAGATTGAAGACATAAAAGAAGCTTTCAACAAAGACAACTAATGTCAATCATCATCAAATTATATCATAAAATAGAAAGGGAGATAACACTTCCAAATTAATTCCTTGAAACCAGTATCAGTATTATCCTGAGGAAAATATATGGACCAACATCTCTGATGAATATAAACACAAAAATCTTTACTAAAAATATTAGGAAAACGAATTTGAAAACACATTAAGGGATTATACACTGTGATCAAGTTGAATTAATCCCAGGGATTCAAATTAGTTTCAGCATATACAAATCAATAAATGTAATTCTCTCACTAAGTTTCCCAAGGTGGCCTTGAACATACAATGCTCCTGTTTTCGTCTCCTGAGTCACTGGGATTGCTAGGTTGACACCACTGCACCTGACTAGGTCATTATACTCTTAAAACCAGGAAACACATGGAAAATTCTCCCTAGTGCCCTGCACCCTTACTTACTAGGATTAAGGTGAAAAAGGACTCCACACCAGGGATCAAAGAAAAGAGACTCACTGTTGCAAAGAAACAATTTACCTAATTTCCAATATCTAACCCTATCTATGTTCATTCCTTTATCCCCTTAAATTGAACCATAATCTCAGATTTCAAATTACCTTTTTTGCATAGAATTAAGCAGTTAAAAATTAACTTTTACTGGAATATGTGTATATATGCTATATATTTTTTGTGGCCTCAGTAAAAATTATAGCAATAAAGAGCTCATGGTAATTTTATGGTAATTTAAGATCACTGCCTTAAAAACAATTGTTCTATTATTCCATTCTATAATTATCATTGAACACTTACCATCTTGGGCCAATATAATTATCATGTAGGAGTCTCCTTCAAAATCTTAGGGAATGTTCCTTAGGCTCTAAATGTTATTAGATGTCTCTTCTCCTTTCACTTCAGATTTTCAAATGCTGTATCCTTTTATGGCCTCATCCTCAACCTGCAGCACCTGGGGAGCAATATCTTCCTGTTCCAGGTTCTCTTTGGAGCCATCACGCTCACAGCCAGATTTGTTTCCCTTTGGACTCTGAATTACATGGGTCGTCGGACAAACCAGATATTGTTCTCATTCCTGGCTGGAGTCTCCATTCTGGTCAACACATTTTTGCCTCAAGGTGAGAGAGACAAAGGTTTGGGGAAAGAAAGTGTTTCCCTCATTCCTTAGGAATTACATCATCTTACCTGTCTGATGCCACAAAAATGTCATTAAAAGTTAAAGGATTTTTGCAGTTAATATAAAGGGTTGAAACAGATTATGGCAAGCACTTGGCAGGACTTAGGCTCCAACTGTGCCTATGTCCTTAAAGTATGGTTCAGAAACAAAGCTGTCCTGACCACATCCAAGATGAACCTGAATAGCAGTTGCAATGGTTCAAACAGTGTCTTTAGAAGAGGAGCTAACCACATGCCTCTGGCTAATGACACTTTTCATAACAATCCTGGAGGGGGTAGGCCATGCAATTGCATCTCTAAATGGGAATGTGATACTTTCCCTGGGATTCTTCCTGATTATTAAGGCCTCCCTAACTCAATACATTTTTAGGAAAGGCTTCTTGAACTTAGTGAAATAAAAGCCCCTTGTCTTCAGACAGAAAGCAAGAGCACAGCAGGAGTAAGAGAATAATTTAATCTTAATGTCTTCTAATTGGCTTTGTGATTTGGCCTTAGAGAAGAAATGAATAATGACTTCTACTTTTATGTGTAATTATAATGCACCAATTAAAAACAATAAATAAATGAAAGGAAGATCAGTAGAATAGAGGATCAGAGAGATGGAGGAAGAGAGTGAAAGGGGAAGTACTAGGGGTTGAAATGGAACAAATTATGTCATATGCACTTAGGAATGTACCAAAATGAACCCCACTATAATGTATAGCAATAATGCTCTAGGAAAAACACTAGAAACAGATTAAGAATACAACTCAACCTATTTTACTAACTTACCCAAATGATCTCATTAATGATTTGGGAATTTCAGTGGTCACCATACTCCACCATGTTCCCAGAGCAGGAAAATATTTTGTAGGATTTCAGACTGGAAGTCTCCATTCTTCTCTCCAACAGAAGTTTCCCGCCTTTCAGGAGAACTGTCTGTATTCTTTTACAGTCCTATTTTGGTTATTTTAGTGAATTTAAAATAATCTTTTTAACCTCTGTAAATTCAGTAATTCAAAAGTATGTGATTAATACCCAGTATGACATTATTCACTTCTGAATAGACTTTCTAATGTCAGGCTGTTAAAATCCTGAATTATTGCCTAGAACTTGCCTCTCTTCAGATTGTCCAATACCTTTGTCACTATGTGGAGTAGGACTTTCCCCACATCACACATTGTTACCATACTCTTAGTACAAAGCTGTTCAAGAACGGGTCATAAAATCCTCAGTTTTTGTTCACATATAGTTCTAGGCCCTTCAGAAAATGCCATGAAAAAAATTGACAGAATTAATAAAACAAATATTTCCTGATTTCTCTATTCCCACCATTATGAGCAATACTCAAATGTGCAGAGAAAATTGAAGCAAGAGATTTAGATCCTTTTGTTCAGTGTTTCAGCCCGGCATTCAGCAGCTCTTCAACCTCTCCATCATCTCTGAGAGGTTGCATTTTGTCTGTCATTTGTTTCTCACCTGCAAACCCTACAACAGAATCACCTCACAATTAGTTAGTGAAAGACTGATTTCTTCAGCCAAGATTTTTTTATTCTCCCTGGTCTCTTCTCTCCAGAAATGCAGACTTTGCGTGTGTCTTTAGCAACCTTGGGAGTTGGATCTGTTTCTGCTGCCGGCACTGGTTTTACTCTCCACCAAATTGAGCTCCTCCCCACTGTATTCAGGTACAAGAGCTCAAAGACCTTCTGTCTGCTTTCCAAAAAGGACTTTCTGAACTAATTAACAGTTACTTCAGGGATAAAATGGAGGTTTTTCATGTTTCCAAGACATGAATTGTAATATACATTTTAAAAGCAACTAATAATCCACAATTATTTAAAACAGACTTTATGCCTCGCAATGTGCCAAGTCTCTTACTGCAGTTTTTCACTTAATCTGAAGAGCCACTCTACAGGATTGGTGCTATGAATATTCTTATTTTAATTATGATGAAACTGATTAATTAGAAATCAATAGTGCTCAATGTCACAATTAAGAGCTGGTTGTCAAAGCCCATGCGTTCAATAACTCTGCTGTATTGTCTCCCAAAATGAAATGGAGTTGACAAGTGACAGCATATATACAGATTTGTACAAGATTTTCTTTGTTTTTTTATTTTCATCCTAAGGTCCACTCTTGGAGGCATCGTTTCAGGATTCCAGAGAACAGGGGCAATACTGGCTCCTCTCCTGATGACCTTACTGGGGTATTCTCTCCGTCTGCCCTGGATCATTTATGGAGTCATCACCCTCCTTGCTGTCCTTGTTATCTTGCCCCTTCCAGAAACCAGGAATCAGCCTCTTGTTAACACGCTCCAGGATGTGGAAAATAAGTAAGCAGATGCCATGATCATCACCTGAATAGGAAGTGGCTATGTTCTATAGCTCTGTGATGAGGAAGCTAATGACCATTTGCAGCCATCTGTCCTACATATAGACTCAGATCTGAGCTATTTCTGCTTGACCCATGTCTTTTATTCAGTAGTAGCTCTCATATACCCACAAAACTGTATCACTCCTCTTGAGACTAGATAACACAGACCATCTTGCACCAGTCCTTTAATAGTGAAAAGGTCAAAATTAGCCCTACTGTGAAGGGCACACACTCTCTGCCCTCAAGGAAAGCCCACTTCTGGTGTTTTCTTGTAAATATGTGAAGACTCAAATACTTAATTCGCATACTTGTGATGTTATCAGGCATCAGCCCAATGAGTGCTCAATATATTATGGGGAGGAAATGAGCATGCCTCAAAGATACAAACCTGATTACTGCATCATTCAGGAAGGATTGTGGGACTAAAACAGAGCAACCTTACTTATAAAGATAACACTGTATCTAAAGGAAGTGGATTCTATAAGATTTAATTCAATTTATTGCCATATATAGTGAAAATTTTAAGGAGAGAGAGAAACTGAAGATATGGGCTGACAGAATTTGAAATGAGGAAAAATGAAAAAGTGCCCTTAGAAATTTTTACTTTCCCTTTGATATTTTCCCCCAAAAATTTCATTGACCAAATGTCTAAATTGACAAGGGTAAGAGTAGCAATACTCAACTCTGTCTTCCCAGGCATTCATAGATATCAAGGCCTTTCCCAGCACATTGGTGTCTAGGGAGTCTTGAGATAGAACAATATCATGTAGAACTTGATACAAAGCTCATCATCTAGCATGGAGGATATGTGCACTTATTCTACATCTTTGCTTCTTTTTTTCTTCTTCTTCCCAGCACAAAATATTCAAGAAAAGTAAAGCAGGAAGATACTTCCACAAAAGTAACACAGTTTTAACAACTTTCCAAGAGTTGATCCAGGGAAGAAAAAAATAAGGAATTAAAAAGTCAAGATTCTTCTTTAGGCCAATAAAACTAGTCAAAAATTTAATGGACCAATGGATGCTACCTAAAATCACTCAATATATAAATTTTCTCAAAATAATTTATGAGTTTATGTAATTTCACCAAACAATTGTTGGTTTGAAGCAAGACATTGCAAAAATAGTTTGAAGTTCATCTTGAAATTAATAATAGAAAAAGAAGCCTTTTTTCCATGATCCAGCAATCCCATTACTTGGTATATATCCAAAAGAGATTTTATATGCCAAAGAGATACCTGCACTTCCATGTTAATTGTAGCACACCTCGGTGTCCTTCAAAGGATGAATAGTTTAAGAAAGTGTATTATATTACATGAAATGGAACACTACTCAACCACATAAATGAAGAACATTCTGACATTTGCAATAACACAAATGAACAGGGAGGAGATTATGTTAAGGGATGTAGGAAGTACAAACAGAGAATGACAAATACCACATAACTCACCCATGTGTGAAACCTGAAAATGATGATCTCAAAATACAGTAGGATGGTGATTTCTAGAGACAGGGGCACTGGGGTAGTGGGAGTGTTCAAAAGATACAAAATTACAATTAGGTAGGAGAAGTAAGTAAATGAGATCTATTGGGCAAAATATTGACTATAGTTAATGACAGCATATTGTATTCTTGAAAAAAGCTGAAATGATGGTGGAGTGCTATCACCACAAAGAAATGAGGTAATACATGGTTAATAAGTTACATTTCATCATTACAAAATGCACATGTACTGCAAACCATCATGTTGCAAAAATAAATACATATAATTTTGTATGTCACTTTTAATAGATAAAATTTGAAAGCAAGAAAAGGAAAAGGAGTAACAAAGAGGCTGGATCATATATCATGAAACATGTGCTACATTTTATCAAATTACAGAAATCCAAACATTCATAGTAAATGCCACCACAAATCATAATAATTCCAAAAAATTAACACTTAAATAACAATTAAATAAACACTTAATATATGAAAGTTTTGGCACCAAAAAAACACTTATCAATTGAAATATTCTGTAGTAAATAATATTAATTAGCTATCTTGGAATAAATTTACAAAAATATTGGTAATGATTCTATTTGTGATTATATTTTATTGTTTTTCCCCTGGATTCTTTCTGGCTTCACACTTTAAACAAATAATATGAATCACTTTAAAATATTATACATATTATCAGATACTAAATAACTATTGATATGATTGATGACTTCAACATATACATATGTATATTTATTTAATATATAATTAGGAATAATATTATACTTCAATGCAAAAGTGGCAAAACAAGAGCAAATAATTCTCAGAGGGAAAAAAGCCACTTGAAAATAAGTATAAGAAAAGATTTCTAAATTTGTGATCAAATAAATACACACTAAAATGAAATACCAACTTTTACTTGCCAAAATAACAAAAAATTCTTATACCTATTCTTTATTCTGCTAGTAGTTTTGGTATAGTAAAATAAAAATTCATACAACACATTATCTCAATACAAATTGCAAAGCCATAGTGATCAAAAGAATATGGTACTTGTATAAAAACAGACACACACAGCAGTGGAACAGAACAGAAAATCCAGAAATTAATTCTCATATTTATAGACATCTGATGTTTTACAAAGGCACCAAGAACATACCTTGAAGAAAAGATTGTAAAACACTTCAAGACATTGAAATTGAAAAAAAAAAATTGGATAGATCCTCCCAATGCACCAACAGTGAAAGCAAAACTAGACAAGATAATATCAAACCAAGAAGTTTCTGTGCAGCAAAGGAATCAGTCAACAGAGTCAAGGCAACCTACAAAATGGGAGAAAATATTCATAAACTACTCATCAAAAAAGTGGTGATTGAAAGGTGAGTGACTCACCCGAGATGGAGATTCAACCAAGAGATTTATTGGGGGTCTGTCCAAAGGGGAAGAAAAGGGGAGTCAGAGAGCTGAGAGAGGAGAGGAGGAGGTCAGAGAGGAAGAGAGCAGAGAGAGAGAAAGAGAAGAGAGAAAGAAGAGAAAGAGGGCAGAGAGTGTGAGCTTGCAAACTTCGGCTTAAGAAGGCTTGCATAGGTGACATGGTGGGTGCTGATTGGCAAGGTGACTCAGGAACTGCTAGCAGACACTGTGTCTCATGGGGATTGGATGAGAAATTATTTGAATTTGATGCTCTTCAGCTTTGCACCCTTTAGAGAGGAGGGGAGGGGTAAGGGATTATGCAAGACTGAAACTTAACTTCAGTGGGGAGTCTCTCACACACCCAACAGTGATGATTGGGTGATAACCACTCAATAACATAGAAAAACTGACTTTAAAATAGGAAAATGGTCTGAATAGATGTTTCTCAAATGGTCAACACTAGTCGTTAAGGAAATGCAAATCAAAACTACAATAAGATATCATTTCACCCAGTTAAAATGGATATTATCAAAAAGACAAAAATTACAAATGCTAGCCAAGATCCAGAGAAGGGTTAAATTTCATACACTGTTGATGGGAATATTAACTGGTATAGCTATTGTGAAAAATGGCATGGTGAGTGCTCAAAAAACTAAAAGTAGAATTACACCATGATCCAGTAATCTCACCAATAGGTATATATATATCCAAAAGTAAGAATATCATTCTATCAATGAGATATCTGCATGCTTATGTGTACTGCAACACTATTCACAAAGACAAGTTATGGACTTAGCAAGATGTAAAAGATAATCATTTGAATGGAATTTTAAATGAGGGGATCTGGGGGAGTGTGGTGGTCTATGAGGCTCACTGCTTACAATGTAGCAGTAATCTCCCTGAGTCAAATGAAGCCACAGATGGGGCCTGGCCAGCAGCAACGTGGCCTAGGCTTTTGCCTCCCTCCAGTTCCCTAGAAGCACGCAGACTGAAGCAGAAAACCAGAGGTGTCTCTTCCTGAACCTCAGCCTGAGCCAGAGGAAGACAGGCAACTTGGGTGGCTGAAGAGGGTCCACTGCCCAAGAATGAGAATTCTATTCACTCAGACATGGAGATGATTTAATTGCCAGGAGCACAGTTATCATTGTTGAGTTGGATAATGCAGAGAAAACCAACATTATTTACAAACTTTCTGTTAATTAAGTTGTAAATATTACCATAAAAGGTAATGTAGAAGAGAGGATGGTGAAAAATACACATTACCAGTGTTGGATATTGATGGCCAGAAGGTCAATTCGTTTTCCCTGGAACACTTATTATGCTAACATAGAGTTTGTAATAGCTGTTGTGGACATAAAGAGGGCTTCTGTAACTAGAGAAAAACTCTGTAAAAATGTTCAGTGCATCAGAACCTAAAAATAACTAGGATTATTAATTTTGTTAATAATCAAGATGTTAAAGAATTCATGGCTGTAGCAAAAATCTCTCACTTTTTGAAAAAAGTGAGGTTAACTTTTCTTCCTTTTGAAAAGGTTTAGGTCAGTTTATGATAAATATATCTAAACCATTAACTTTTGCAGCCCTTTGGTAAAGCCCAGCCTTTTATTGATAAAGAGTATATGGAAAGGGCTGGATATCTAACTTAGCTGGTAGAGTGCTTCCCTTGCATGCACAAGCCCTGGGTTCAACCCCCAGCACCACAAGAAAAGGTCATTGTATATAGGACAGTAGAGATCTTCTCATCTTTGTATGTGATATCATCCATTCAAGAATCACCATGTCAATGGGAACTCTTATTAGAATTTGATGAATATATATAGATGAATAGTTTAGATATATTTATCTGGGCTTGGGATATAGCTCAGTTGGTAGAGTGCTTGCCCCCCATGCACAAGGCTTTGGGTTCAGTCCCCACCAACAAAATTAAATATATTTATCTAATGGTTTAGGTATATTTATCACAATCTGACCTAAACTTTTTTGATACATATACTTATTATAAGTTGATTTATATTTTTTGATAGGAAGAAAAATCAACATCATTTATTTGAAATCAAAGATGTATTCTTACCTTCCAAGTTGTTTTCTCATTATTTCCTTCCAAAGTAAGATAATAAAGCTGTGATTGACATTTTTCCCATAATGAATCTACTCAGGACATGGTGTAGTCTGTGGCAAATAAAAATGTAGAGGAATATATTTTTGACTTTAAGAGATTTACTATTAGTGCAACCCTCTGTAGTTGAAGGTTGAACCCTTTTGTTCCATTCAGTCAAAATAAATTTAGCACAGATATTGTTTCCAGTACTTGGAAATGTAATAACTATTTATATAAAGTATTTCACACACTAATGTGTAATTATTGTGTATACACCTCAAATTCAAGTTAATGGCTTTATGTTCTACAGAAAAGTAGATAACAAAAAATTAATAACTTTCTTAGTTATAACCCTAAAAAGATAGGTACTGGCATTGGTGGGAAGTGCCATTTTGTTCTTTTCCTCAGGCTTTCCAAAATATACCAATCAAAACCCAATATCACTTAGTGACTCTTAAAATAGAAGGAAATAAAAAGAGAAAAACTTGAGAAAAAGATGCACATACACACAATGGAATATAATTAAGCCATGAAAAGAATAAACTCCTGCCATTTGCAGCAACTAGAGAAAATGATATTATATGAAATAAGTAAGGCAATTACTGGAATAAGAAAGACAATTAGTGAATGTTTTCATTCATTTATGGAAGCCAAAAATAGTTAATCACATAGCAGTAGAGAGTATAGAAGTCACTAAAGGTTAGGAAGGGGGAAGTTGTTCAGCTTTCTGTCATTATGAAAATATATCTGAGAAAATCAACTTAAGGGGGTAAAATATCTATTTTGGCTCACAACTTTACCATGGTTGCTTGTTCCTGTTGCTTTGTCAGCAAGGCAGTTCACCATGGCAGGTAGTGCTTGGTAGAGCAAAGCTGCTCATCTCTTGGTGACTGTGAGCAGAAAGTGATAGAAATGAGTTGGGATCCCAATATCTCCCTTAGGATCACAGTCCCAGTGACCTAATAGCTTTCAACTGGGTTCCACCTCTTAAAGCCACCGTCCCAATAGCCACCTCTCCACACCTCCATCTACTAGAGCACAAGCCTTCAACACATGAGCTGTGGGGGAACATCTAAGTTATGAACTATACTGGGGGAGTGACTCTAATGTCCTGTAGTGTGATAGGACAACTACAGTCTATGCAGTCTATGGCAATTAGGTACATATTCCAATATAGCTAGAGAACAAGAATTTGAATGTCCCAATACAAAAATATGACAATATTCAAAGCAATGGAAATGCTAACTGCCTGATTTGATTGTTATACAGTCTCTCTCTCTCTCTCTCTCTCTCTCTCTCTCTCTATATATATATATATATATATATATATATATATATACACACACACACACATATATATATAATAAAGTATTATATATACTTTATATATACTTTTTGATAGATATATTTATTCTAAGTTGATTTAAATTTTTTGACAGGAAGAAAAATCAACATCACTTATTTGAAAACAAAGATAAAGTCTTACCTTCCAATTTATTTTCCACTTAAGTATACATTCCAATATAACTAGAGGATAAGAATTTGGAGGTACCATCACATAAATATGACAATATTCAAAGTGATAGAAATGCTAACTGCCTGATTTTTGTTATATGGTAAATATATATATATATATATATATATATATATATATATATACACACACACCCACACACACATACACACATACACACACACACACACACATATATATATACACACACATACAATGCTGTATACCATAAATGAGCACAAATGCATGGCAATTAGAAAAAAATAAATTAATTTTTTTAGAAAAGATGCTATAATTTGCCAGATCTATTGATATAATCTGTTTTCTTTCTTTTACTCTCCAAGTATAGAAAAGTACATTGATGACTTTTCAAATGTTAAAGCACCCTTGTAATTCTACAATAACAGAAACTTGGTCATGATATGTTGGGGTTTTTGTTGTTGTTGTTTTGTTTTTGATAGATTTCTGCCACTGTAGTTTTTTAATTTTATTTTCATTTGTCTTTTTTTTAAAGGTGGAATTAATATTGTTTTACCTACAAACTTCATTTTTAGTAGATATATGAGGCTATTAATATTGTCTACTTTTTTCATCATGATTTTTGTCTTCATTACGAATTTTAAGAGGACTCAACATGGGGGTGGGTGGGGGAGGCAGCGCTTTCAGTACCTCCTCAGCCACGCAGACAGAAAGACACATCAGAACGTCTGGATTCACCTGCTGAGAAACTCTCAGCAAAATTCCGCTGAAGTGAGACCTAGCTGGGGAATTGGGATTATTTGAGGTGATAGCTTGCCCCAGATGGGTGAATCTCGGCCACCCTGCCCGGAGGTCCGAGCCGCAGCTGCCTAGCGACCGGCACAGGAGGTTTCAGCCCTGCGGGATACCATGTGCGGTGTAGAGACTCTATGAAGAGGTTGCTAACCAAGCCTTCGTGAAACAGCAGACCAGAACTGAAACCAAGTCTGGGACAGACCAGAGACAGGCAAGACCCACCCCTCCCATCGGACACTCCAGCAAGGAGTCTGGGGCCTGCCATAGCAGAGAACTGATGTCAACAGAGTTGGCGGATGGGAACCCTTCCCAGCTGTATCGGCTTTAGCAGGTGTGTGACTCCCATCCCCACCAGATACATACAGCTGGGAAACCTCAAAAATCTCTCCCCAGAGCTCTGTGGGTGTGATTGTAGGGGCCGAGGGAAGCAGGGGGGACTCCCGAACCCCAACTCCCCCTACCACCAGCAGTGAAACCCAAGGCCTTAGCCGCCAGTTCCCGGGGGCATGGCCACTGAAGGGGTCCAGACAAATTAAACTGATGGTATGAGCGGGGCCTGGCTGGCTGGCTGGCAGGAGGAAGGGGGGAGGGGCCAGAGAAGAGAAATGGCTCTGGACTAACAGGATTGGAGAGACGCCCAATAGGGGAAGAGGAGCAGACTTACAGGGATTGCTGCTGGCACAACGAGGGCAGAAGCTCAGCTCAGAGGGCACAGCTCCACCTACTGAAAGAGAAGAAAATAGAACTCTAAGACTTCATTTATCATTTTTTTCCTCTTCCCTTTTCAATTTTTATTCTTCTTTCCATTCTGCTTTATTCTACCTATTTTTCTCTCCCTCTTTCTCTTTAAGGACTCGTTCCTTCCCCTTCCCCCTAATTTTCATTCCAAGCATTATGACTTTCATTACGTGTAATTTTCTAAATGCAAATAGGTGAATATTCTGAGGCTGTCTATAGGGCTCCTAAGTACCTAGCTATTACCAAATACCCTGATCCATTCAACGGTTAATATCCCCCTTCAGTAGAGCAATCTTCCAAAGCAGCCAAGACATACTAACCTTCATACCATCATAGCACCCAACCTAAACATAAAGTCCTAAGACCAAACAACAGATCACTATATGCCTACAGAATCTTTAAGCCTTTTATGAATCAAATGAAGCAGCTTTAAATTACAATAAAGCCCAACATCTCTAGACATAGTCTCCCACCACAAAGGAGAGACCACAGAGATATACAAAACCAAAACAAATTTATAGGAGAAAACAGAAACACAGAAGTTAAACAGAGTTGGAAAGTAACGTGAACACCATGAAAAAAACAAGGGAAAAAGGATTACAAACAATGCAGGACAACTTAAATTCACAGGAGAACCTAGAGGCACCAGAAAAATGGACCGAGAAAGAACTCAAGGCATACCTGACTCAGATGGAATGGAATCTTAAAGAAGTCATTAGACAGCAAGTCCAAACAATGAAATAATACTGTGAAAATGAATTCCATAATCAGATTCAAAAAGCAAAAATGAACTCTACCAGGAGATAGAGAAATTAAAAAAAAAAATCAAAGAGTAATCCTAGAAATGCAGGAAACCATAAACCAAATCAAAAACTCAAATGATAATATTACAAATAGACTAGATCAAATAGAAGTTAGAACATCAGATAATGAAGACAAAGTTTACCAACTCGAAAAGAATATAGTCAATGCAGAAAGGCTGGTAAGAAACCACGAGAAAAACATCCAAGAGATATGGGATGTCATAAAAAAAACAAACTTAAGAGTCATTGGGATAGAAGAAGGTATAGAGGTCCAAACTAAAGGAATGTGCAACCTGTTGAATGAAATAATCTTAGAAAACTTTCCAGAAATGAAAGGTGGAATGGATTTCCAAATTCTGGAAGCCTACAGGACCCCGAACATACAAAACCATAATAGACCAACTCCAATACACAGTATTATGAAGATATCCAACATACAGAACAAGGAGAGAATATTAAAAGCTACAAGAGAAAGGAGGCAGATTACATTCAGGAGTAAACCAATTAGGTTAACAGCTGATTTTTCATCACAGACGTTGAAAGCGAAAAGATCCTGGAACAACGTATTTCAAATGCTGAAAAATAATGCATTCCAACCAAGAATATTGTATCCAGCAAAATTAAGCTTCAGGTTTGACAATGAAATTAAAATATTTCATGATAAACAAAAGTTAAAAGAATTTGCAGCCAGAAAACCAGCACTGCAAAGCATTTTGAGCAAAACACTACAAGAAGATGAAATGAAAACAGCACCCAAAACTAACAGTGGGAGGTAACTCAGTAAAGGGGGGGAAAAATAACCAAAGAGGAAAAACAAGCCAAATTAAAATAAATAAATAAATAAATAAACATGACTGGAAGTACAAACCATATATCAATAGTAACCCTAAATGTTAATCCCCACATCCTCGCCAGCACTTGTTGTTGTTTGACTCCATAATGGCTGCCAATCTTACTGGAGTGAGATGGTATCTTAGGGTGGTTTTGATTTGCATTTCTCTGACTGGTAGAGATGGTGAGCATTTTTTCATGTACTTGTTGATTGACTGTATGTCCTCCTCTGAGAAGTGTCTGTTCAGGTCCTAGGCCCATTTGTTGATTGGGTTACTTGTTTTCTTATTGTTTAATTTTTTGAGTTCTTTGTATACTCTGGATATTAGGGCTCTATCTGAAGTGTGAGGAGTAAAAATTTGTTCCCAGGATGTAGGCTCCCTATTTGCC